GGGGGGGGGAGGGGCGGAGGGGAGGGGAGGGGCGGAAACGAAATGAAATTCATATCTTCAGAAAGCAAGATTGAGTGTTCTCGGCAACCCCGGGGAGATGGAGTTTCAAATCTGCTGGAGTGATTCGGTGTTGAGAGAGGAATAAGCATGCCCACTTTCATTCCTGTTCATGCTCTCAGAGAGGAATACGAGGAGTTTCCGTTTTGTTACGATTGAAGAAAGGTAAAAGGCGCTAACAAAATCTAATGATTAAGGAAAGCAATTAGAGATAAAATGTATCATTAATTACTTTCCTTCCACTCTCTTCTTATGTGACCTCTTATAGTAAAAAAAAAAATATTTATTTTATCTAAAAATTGTTCGTTCAAATCAGCGTAATACAATTTCAGTGGGAATAAAGACCAACGGCCGAAACGGCAACGAATTTCAGCATTTCAGCCGTTTTCCGAAGGAAATTTTTCATCGCCGTGCAGTTACTGTCGCTTCGTGCTTCTCGGATTTCAGTAGCTCCAATTAATTATTACGTGTGATTTATCACATTCATCATTAGAACGATGAATGCCGAGTCATCACCTCGTCTTCATTCGAAGACAATGCGGCCGAATGAGAAGTCACAGAGCGTAACAGAAAATGAATGTTTTGTCACGGAGAGCAGCGGAAAATGAATGTTTTGCCGTGGAGGGTCGCCCCCCCCCCCCCCCCCCCCCTTCCCCCCCTCCATCCCCTCCACTCCCCCCCCCCCCCCCCCCCCCCCCCCCCCCCCCCCTCGTTCCCCTCTGAGATCCTTTCACTCTGATATTGGATGAGGAGAGACTCCTAGCGTCGAAGGGAGGCTTCTGCTTCTGCTCTGATGAATCTTCTGTCTATTGGTTCTCGGGTTTCGCTTCCCTCACCGTGTGTCGTCGAGGAAGGAGGATGAGGCTCAACCGCGTGAAGTACGGTGTGTGAAGTACGGTGTGTGAAGTACGGTGCGTGAAGTACGGTGTGAGTCTCGTTATCGAGGTGCGACCGTTTTATCTCATCACCTTGATTTTCGTTTGTCCGTGCATACTTTGAAGAATATACGAGTGCTTCACATTGATTGCTGCACCTTCAACTGTATTCCCGATCGCACCGGCACGGATGGTAGCGTCGAGGTAACGGTAACTCCACGGCACCAACGCGCTGACGTCGAAACTCCAGCAAATCTGAATCGTTGGGAAATAGAGATATAAGAAGCCGGTGATGAACGCGAGAGAAAAATGATGAGATAGCGCCAAAACTCGTGAATTCCGCGACGAAACGACGCCAAACCCAGCGTCGACCCAGGCACCACCAGCGAACCCGAAGAGGCGAGAAACGGGACAGCGAAAGCGTCGCCGATCGAAGAGGCCCAGGGATATGGCAGCCCGCTCAATGGGCGATGAACACGTTGACTTTGGAAGTAGGACATGGATGCGTTGGCACCCACACATGCCGCGTATATATTCCCAGTCCATATTACGTATGTATATGGCAATAGGATTAGTATGCGTCGGGCCGCATCAATTGACTAGCGTAAACCGGCTTGTCAGCGGCCTAGCAGTAGATACCTAGCCCTTTCGTCAGGCTTTGGCCGGTTGGAGTAGACCGAAGGCGTAGCTTGACCTTGGGACCTGATCGTGTTCGTTGTACGATTTGCTTATCGTCGTATGTGTTTTGTTCTATTCAATCTATGTCAGTTTCGGGTGGCTCAGGTTCGTTATGTCACGAATCGCAACATTTCGTGTTCTATTCGCGTCCCTTTACTCCCTTTTCACTTCTGAAAAATTCGGCATATGATAGCGTTGAACCTCTTTCAGCTCAAAGCATCGTCAAGGTCTACTTGGGGATTGGGGGCCTTGAATAGGGATTTTATTTTTAGGTCAGTACTTGGATTTAATGGGGAGTTTCTGCTCAAACGTTCTTCAAACACTAGTCTGGTATGCCTGTGGAGAGGTGCCTGAGTAGGATGGAAAGAAGGCACCAGGGAAACTAATTCTGAGACTTGAAGGAAGAGGAGGGCTTTTGTTTGTGGGCAAACAATCCAAATGTGGCGGTTTATTATTATAATATCGAGGAGGAGGTGTTGCTCGGACCAACCCTGGTCATCTGGGTGGTTCCATCTCCGTATGCCTGCCTTTGAAGTTTCCATTCTGTGGGGATTCTAAATTCATGGTAAATTGAGATTTTCTAATTCAACTTATTCAAGTAAAAGTAAGTGACTGACTCTTCCTCTTGGCCATGGCATGGCCATGGCATGGCTATGGTATGTGGAAAAGTTCATTCTTGTCTTTGGCTTAATTTTGCACATTCTAGTCACTTAGAGATCAGTGGATTAGTTGCACCAGTTAGCCTCAAAGAAAGGACATATGTCATGCACACTATCCATTTCCCCCTTCCATGCTGCTTCCATACCTGCATTCCGTATCAGCTGTTCACTGTTGGAGCAGATTTATAGATACATTTCCTCCATCAAATTTCCAATCCACCTAACCAGCATCTGTATGTGTCCCTTGTTAGTAGGTACCCACTTGTGGATGTATTTGTTGTAGCTCCATGTGATAGAATGTGTTGATGTTGATACCTCAGGTAAAAAGTGGGGATGGGGTGAATGCATTTGATGATGATTGTTTCTTTTAGAAAGGAAGTTTAACCCTTCTATGAGTATGCCCGTATATGTACGGGTTGACATCCTCCTGCCCTCCATGCATTCACTATGGTGATCTTCTCCTCAAAGGGTTAAGGGTATGAACATGTTGTTAAAGTCCCTTATCCAAGATACAGTGTTGGTGGCATTGCTTATTCCATCATTTTCATGCTGTGCTGGTAATAGCAAAACTCAAGGAATGAGTCAGTATAATTATTGGAGAACCCAAATACTACAGTGTAATGATTTTATGAATCTGTCAAAATGTCCCAATTCTATCATATTTGAACAAATGAGTACCATGGGGCTGGGGTGAGTCCATAGGCCAGTTGGCATTGGGGTCTGAGTCATAAAGCTTTATGGTAGTGGCTATTCTTGCTGGTGGTGGAGGAGCACACAGTGGGCCTAGGCTGAGGGATGTAAAAGACCTGTGAGACCATACCTGTGCAGTCTTTAGAGTTCATATTGAACAATGAAAACCTATTTCCTCCAAGTGATAGGATATCCTCATTATCTAATACCAACTAATTCATTATGTTAATTCCATTGCTTGCTTTTCATCTATATCCCCATTACTATGAAACTTCCCAGAACTTTTTCTGACCATTAATGCAGTGGTACTAAAACATGTTGCATGTGGCTTCTGAAGAGAGTACATACTTTCCAGTTAGGAGGAATTTTTCATTAGTACCAGTAAGCCTTTTCTTTTGATGTGGTCTTCATTGCGTTGGTCATGTTGGGGCGTGTGATTTCTCTCTATCAAAGATAATTCTGCTCAAATAAAATGAGAAGTCTATTTTTATGCAAGTGTAAGTGGTAAAGTCTACACAAGTTTTATCTTTCAATGGGATCATGTGTAACTTTTAGTGTCCTTGTCATCAGATGCGAGCAGCAGAACGAATAATCCAGTTCCAATGAAATTTGAAGCACATATGAATCAGTAGATTCATTCAAAGCGTGCCTCATTATCTCATTGCAAGTCAGCTAAGGATCTCGGGAAATGCTCACATCGGTGTGGCTTCTCCTGAGAACTATGCTCCCACTCAACATGTGCAACAAAGTGATGTGGCAGTGGTGGACCCTGCTTGGACTCCTGTTTATGTGTTCATTAGGTGTGCAGTGTGTAGAACTCACTTTTGAATTACCTGATAATGCCAAGGAGTGTTTGTATGAGCATGTGGAGAAAGGAACTAAGGCAATTCTGGAATATCAGGTTAGTCATTCTCTTTGTCATGAGGTTTTTCCAGGTAGAGGTTTCTATTTCTTTGTTTATTTTATTATTGTTTTGAACAATTATTTGGACCTCTAGGTTCTCGTGAGTGTTAGGAGTGTCTTGTTTTTCATGGAGAGGATGTAGACAGTTCCCATCATCTGAATTTTTTTCATGAAAATGAATATCTGGCAGGTGGTGACTGGTGGACATTATGATGTGGATGCCAAGGTGGTGGCACCGAACAAGCAGATCCTGTATAACGAGGTGAAGAAGCAGTTTGACAGTTTTGAATGGGTGGCTGATATGACTGGGGATTATGCAGCTTGCTTCAGCAATGAGTTCTCTACCTTCTCACACAAGCTCCTCTACATAGACTTTCAGGTCGGAGAAGAAAAACCCCTGGAGGGTCTTCCGGAACATCACACTGCCATGACCCAGGTCTGCTTTGTCACATTATATTGAGAGGGATCTTGACCAAGTTAAAGAGTATGTTAAACCTGATTTTGTTGGTATTCATTTATCCAGCCTTGCCATGGAAGCTATCAAATAACAATTTCTGCAAGTTATTACTAGTTTGAGGAGGTCAGGAAGAAGTTCATAAAGAGTGTATGTCTGCCTTTGCAATAAAATAACAGTGGTGGAACAATAATTATGTTACATGTAAAGTATGTGAAATATGAACTCAGAAGAATAAATCAGTGATTTGATTGATGTGAACATGGTGGCCATGTATGATAGTGGTCTAGGTTGTACAATTCTGTCTGCATTCCTTGATGCACTTATTGGGCTACTAGATTGTTTCTTTCATCCTTGTCCTCATAGAATTATGATGCAGTACTGATAAAGTGTTCTCTGTCACACACAGTTCATCACCAGCCTATTGTAGATTTTGTTTCAGCCAGATAGATTTTTACTGGTGCTAGTGCTGTGCATTTTCTTCATTGCATTCAATTTGGATTTTGAAATGTAGATGGAGAGTTCCTCTCAAGTGATCCATGAGAACCTGAACTCTGTGATCGATTATCAGACGCATCATCGTCTCCGCGAGGCCCAGGGCCGGAAGCGGGCCGAGGACCTCAACGAACGCGTCCTCTGGTGGTCCATCGGAGTGACGTTCGCCATCCTGGTCATCGTCATTGGCCAGGTCTTCGTCCTCCGCAGTTTCTTCTCAGAGAAAAAGCCCTCCGAAATGATGAACCATGGGTTTTCTTAACAATGAGCCTTAATGGAAACAAAACAAAAAAATCTCTTTGCATTTTGATTTTGCCCCAAATCTCTTGTTTGCGGTGATATTGTGTCTCCGGTCTAAATCCAACCGTCTTCCCTTTTCTTCTTTCCATCAACACCATTCTGTGGATATTGTCTCATTTCTGCACCTGCTTCTGTTTAAAGCATTTTGGAGTATCCCTCAGTCAGCAAAAAAGTGTTGGTTGTTATAGTTCTATTTATTACAAAAATAAGTTTACCTATATTGTGGTGGGGGCATGCTCCTGTGAAATGACAAAATTGATGAGAAATATATTGTCTGTTTGTATCATAGCCTGTAGTCTTTGACTTTGTGAACCATTGTTGGGGACAGGATTATCATTATCTGATAAATTTGCAAAATTTAATGTTTTCTTGCTCAAACCATGCTTAAAACTTTTTTGACGGTACAGTTATATTTCTTCTTCTTGGCAGTTCAGTCATTACAATTGCATAGTACAGTAGCAAACCAACATAATTTCAAAACTCCACATCAGTACTAGCATAAAATAGTGGTATGACATTTGCAGGTAATGTCACCACTAAGTTTGCCTCACTGAAAAAATTGAATTAAATGAATGCACCAAGGTCAGGATTCTATGACATCAAGGATTCAAACCTGTCTGAAGTGCTTTTTCCAATAGATCCAGGAGCGAACCTCAGCTTCTTCTGACTTAATCCTTTCCAGACTACCTGAGTTTTGGGCTGTGCTCTGCGATGATGTCCATTATAAAGGTTAAATGAGCCTTAATGAGTCTGGCTTTCCATTTCTGTTTTGAGGGATTTAAGGATTGCAGTATGTTCTTAACTTAGTTTCTCTCAAAACTTCTCGTGCATGCCATGGAAGCAAACCTTATTTTTGAAAAATATGTTCCACACCAGTGTTTTTTAGGTTTCTGTTACTGTGTTTGAAAATCCACTCCATCGCCATTTGCATAAGATGAAATAGGTCCTAATGATGAAGAATGATTTTATTGGATTGAGGGCTTGATCCACAAATACATACAATGATGTCCTATTCCAAAAAAAAAAAATTGAAGAAAAGCAGCCCATCCCAAAGCTACTCTAGTGGACATTTAATCATTACTTTTCCTGTTTGCTCCAATTTTATGCCATTACCTGGGAAATTTCAAATCGTTAGAAACCTCATCTTTTATTTAGTTTGCTATATATGACTACTCAAGGAGTTTCAGAGGCAGACGATAGAAGTGTCTGTTCTGCCTGTAGCTTCTCCAACAGCCAATTTATTTTTTGGAATAGTACTTTTCATATGACCTGTGAGTGTGAAGCCTTATGGGAATTCTTCCTTCGTCACTGGAATATAGTATTTGTCTCTAACAGGTATGAAGCTCAAAAAGTATGAAGTGCATGGATTTGCCACTCATACCTTGAAGCACCATGTTAATAGTGTATCCACTTGAACCCAAGGTTGTCAGATCTCTGCTGCCCCTCACTAATGATGTTTAAATAAAGGAAAGAAGGGTAGGTGGAAGTGGGTCATCAGTCACTCTCAGTGGGTTTGATTCATATGTGGATGTCACTACTGAGAGAGGAAGTTGGATCCAAATAGTATTTCTGAGGCTGATGCTAAGATGTATTTTTAGACACCTGTATAATGGAGATGTATGCCAGTTGTCACCTCCTTTGCTCTTCTGGTTGTTCATTATTCATTGACTATTACCTTGGATCTGAGAGCCACTTGACAGTTACCTTTGCCTATCCCATCAAATGAAGTCTGAGTGGATGCACTGAGACATAATCCTCATCAAAGAATGATTATTTATGATAATCATTTGGTCATGCTGAAGCCAGGCACCCAGGGGGTCACAGAATTTTGTCCTCGAAACACAATTCAGCCCATGTGGCTTCCAGGAATGTGCCATTTGTTGGATAGCCTTATAAATATGTTATGCCGAGCCATGGAATCTGCCCCAAACCGTAGGTTTGGTTTTAAACCTGGATCCCTTTCTCAATCCATGCCTGCAACCAGCTGAGCCATCCCCAACTCCTTTTTCAAGAGGAAAATATTTATTTTCTTGCCAGCAGCATCAATATAGCTATCCAACTTTTTGACATTCCAGGTCCATCAATAAGTTCTTGGCCTTACCCAAAAAACCAAGCACACACAGATTTTTCTTCACTATCAATCTTCAGTGTCATGGCCATCACACTCAGTGACTTGCTTCCAACATTCTACAAATCTAACATTCTAATACTGTAATTATATGAAGATTATTCTTGCTGTCAATGCATTCTTGCATGGACTACTTCAGCTTATTGTCATCAAAATGCATTTCTCGCTGGTCCTTTTCATATTGTACTGTACTGGATGCATGGCCTCAGCTCACTATTACGTTATTAAGCCTAAAAAAGGACCTCCAAGAAAGGCATTCTGGAAATGACAATGAGCCAAGCAAGAATGGTTTAACAGCAGAAGAAACTCTTTACAGATAAAGTATGAAATGGAAGCAATCACTGATTGCTGAACAGATGCACAAGTGGAAGTCTTTCACCAGCTAGCAGGAAATAGGTAAAATGCGTGCATTTCCTATTGGCATATTTTTATTCTAATATCCCAGATCTTTCCACAATACACAATGCATGTCATTATACTCATCATATGAACTCATGAATTTTCATTTGGAATGAGAACTAAAGTAAATATGAAATTGAACACTCATGCACTTGTCTTGGTGGTTGTGCAATGCATGAGGAATGCCATAGAGGGAGAGTCCAGATGGACTCACCCTTCGGGATAGGGGAGTGGGTGAGGGCAAAAAGGAACTAATTCTCACATTTTCAATAAGACCATAAATATTGCACTGCCTACTAAGTACACTGAAAGGAATTGATGTGTAATAATGCCCAGAAATTGTACTTGAATCCATATTTTTACTAATACAGAACTGGAGAATCGGCTGACAATTTCAATTATTTGTTCCTCTACAAGCAAGTAGCCCCTATCTCCCATGCACAAGGAACAATAAGACTAGCAACAATGGGCATAAAGGATTTCCTGCTCTGGTCAATGTTTTTGAATTTCAAAACAATTTCACCCATTTTAGAAAATTTTCAGTCAAGACTTCAGTGAAGTTGTCACATGGAATTGATAAACTTTACATGAAACCCCTGATGCTTGATGTTGCTTTGCACTTGGCTGGTGAGAGTGGGCATGGCTCTTCTTTCCACCCACCTGTCCTTTTCATGATGAGGAATCACTTTGAGGACTGAAAGCTAAGGAATAATAAAGTTTCACTCCCATTCATGTACCTGAATCAGGATCTCCAAGATTCACTCATGAACTCTATCATTGCATCACCATTTAATAGCAAAGAAAACAGCATAACTAGACAAGCCTCAAGTTCCCAAGTAATAGCAAAAACTACTGAACATGCTAACTTACGTAAGACTCTTGCATGGTAAAATTGAGAGAAAAAATCCATATTATGCATCATGTCCTCACCCTTCTGGAGACAAGAAGCAACACATGGGGCAAGACAAGCCAAATCACATCAAGCTCAAGCTAGGCCAGGGTGCTGAGAGGTGCCTGTTTCTCTCGCTTAAGTGCTTGATTCTCTCGTTCGAGTGCCTGTTTCTCTCGTTCGAGTGCCTGTTTCTCTCGCTCAAGTGCTTGATTTTCTCGCTCAAGTGCTTGATTTTCTCGCTTGAGTGCTTGATTCTCTTGCTCAAGTTGATGGTTTCCATATTTTAGCTTCTCCAAGTCCTCCTTCAGCTTCTCCTCCATATCTTTTTTCTTCTGCCGATACCTACTGGAATACTCCCTGGCCTTGGCACGCTTGCGGCCAGCATCTGATTCTTGCTCCTCTTGCTTGTTGCCCACCAACAGTTCATCCCTTGTATTTGTCCCTATCTCTATTGCTCTGCTCTCCTCCTATGGGCATTACATGAGTGACATATAGGAAATCACTATCTCAGCTATCACTTATAGTATTGGTTCATCATTACCAAAATACCAATTAGTGAGACTGTGTAATGGTGAGGAAAGAAAATTGAAACATATATTATTTTTTAGGTAAGAAATCTATATTCTAACCAAGATTGAGCCATCAAATTCAAGAGGGTTCTCTTGCCCTCTTGAACAAAAGAGGCTTTCCATGAATGATTTCAAATATCAAGCTTTTAACTCCATCCAATGGTGTGCAAAGTTTGTGTCAATACTTACCATTCCAGAATGATCTTCATTTTGCACACCAAGACTCTCAACCCTAGACAGTGCATCATCACCCAGTTGCTCGGGCCCATCCAACACCGAAGAATCAAAGGTAAATTCCTCTCCAATTTCACCTGCCAGCTGTAAGGCAAGGCCACTCGGTGAAATTGTCAGTGCATCCCTTGGCTCAGGCAGGGACAGCACCGGAGGAAAGGATGCTGGGTATTCCATCTTGAGCATGTCAGATATGCCCTGAAAGTCACATGAGGATGTCATTTGCCTGAGTTCCTCATATTCTGGGGTTCTTGCTTCTGCTGTATTAGTACATGCTCCAAGGAAAAGATAAATAAAAAACTTTAAGCTACATGAACACCAAAATTTTGAGCAAAAATGGAGGTGGGATGAAGTGAATGTGCTAGATAGAGAAATTAGAACAGATGCCATGGAACATTAACATAAATTCAAGTGGGAAATTTTTTCAATAGAATGAAGTCATAGAAAAATTATCATTTACAAAACACCTGCATTTGCAATAGATATTGCTACTACAACAGATCCAATATAAACTCAGAAATCAGTTTCCAATGTTGTCTTTCTTTGCTACCTGTACTTGGTCAAACATTGGTGAACTACAAATTTTTGGCAAGAAAGTGCCTCAAAGAATCTATTCTTCACTCCTACCATATCATGGTAACATGAAATATGTGTCTGATATATACCAGTTCAATTGATTGTTCTTGAATGTTCCCAATCATAGATGTTGACATTGATATATTCCACAGTTGATCAGGATCATCAGATGTCAAGGCATCAAAGGAAATTGCCTGTATGCATTCATTGATCCGCTGTGGGTCAAAGACATTCAGCATGTCTGTAGCCACATCCATCCCTGGTGGTTCTGGTCGGGCTAGCAGTTGAGTTGGAGAAAAAGATGTTGGATCTTCCATCATGTCCATGTCCTGGATGCCCTCAAATTCGAGTGAGAGCAACATTTGCCTCAGTTCCTCATTTTCTGGGGCTCTTGTTTCTTCTCTATTAGAATATGCTCCCTGGAGAAAAGACAAAATGAAACCTCAAACTACATGAATGTCAACATTTTTGGCAAAAACAGAAGCTTGAGAAATGAACAAGCTCACATTGCCTTAGAGGACATCCGATATGTAAGGCCGAGCAATGGTAAGAATAGTGACTTCAAATATAAGCTGGTTCTCAATAATTAGCCCACAAACTAACCTGTATGGAGTCATGGAGAGGAACCAGAGGAACATGAGAACTGAGTGATTGGGCTTGCCCCAACCCGGTGACTCCTGGGTTTGTTGCCTCTGAGTTGCCATTCGTCTGGCCTGCAAGGAAGGCAGAGATAAAGAATCAATTTGGCTGCTCTAAGTTCCGCTGTTTTTGTCCCATGTCGCCGGCAGATCGTGGGAATCTTACGAGTGGCAACTGGGGAGTCCTCTGATGCAATAAATGCTGGGGCTTCCAAGACATCCATGCCATAAGCCCCAACTCCATGACCAAATATATTCGTAGGGTAAGGCCATTCTTCCTGCAAGAGATTGCAACAGATCATGATCATATGGCCTCACGATATTGGTAGGATTGCAAAAATGTCACTAGGTTTATACAGAAATGCAATCTTGTCCCTGCCAATTTTGGGTTCAATCGGAGAGTGAAAAAATACTTTAAACTTTTGTGAAGTGTTTCAAGGCTTTTGCAAATTTCACATAACGAATGTGCATGCACTGCATTTTTCCTTATTGTTGGCCACTTCAACCAGCCTCAGATGACATCATGGTGCCACCTAATGATGCCAGGAAATGGATATAATTTTAGGTAATAGGGTAAATTTCCCTCTAAGAACTCCCAAGCGCAAATGATGTTTCATGATCACATGATCAACATCACATTAATATCAATTCATCGTAAAATAAATGTGATCATGCAACTTGACACTGGATTCGTCCTGTTCGTGAAAACTCAGTCCCAGTACTCACCAAACGCTCTGGAGTGATAATCTCCTCTGAATTAATGTTGGAGACTAGAAGACACACAGCAGCGAATGTTCTCCCTCACCTGCAATATTCAATAGAACACCAGCTAATTCGTAGAAAAGTATTCAGCTGCAGCCAAAACTCAACTCGGTCTTTTATTTTCTATAAATATATCATACGTGCAACGGAATTCCGATTTCCTGCAGAGCGGCCTGCTGAGCGCGGAGAGAAATTCCGATCACACCGGCGCAAAGAAATTAGCCAACATTTTTCATCATAACTTTGTCACAAATCGGACAATGGAAGATTCAATATATTCAATTACGACCTTGAGTTCAAACGATATCGAAATGAAGTCACGTCTAAACGATCTGGATCGAGAGGGCGCTAGTGTCCAGTCAGGATTTTTTCTTTTCCCTCTGTCTCTCGAAAACTTGGCCACATGGTTGGACTGGCCCACGGGGATACTGGGAAGATTTACGAGGGTCCCTTGGTGTGCATAATGGGGTGGGAGCAATTTTTCAAAAATTCCTCGATTACGTAATTTGGCAATACCGTTCACAAACATTTTTCTGGCCTAACATGAAAAGCGAATAATAATAAAAAAATCCCCAAATCAAAAGGTCGTTGAGAGAGCGAAGTGAAAAGGGAAGGAAACCCAGACGGACGCGGCGCCGCCAAGACAAAGGATGCGCCATGCGATTGCATCATCACTTTCTCTTATTCCCGAAAATTCTCGATAGACGAGACCGAGGGTTCACCTACCCTTTGTTTCCGCCAAAAGCGTTTATCTCCTCCGTGGAACAATGTGGAACACCGTGGAACACCCGGATAGAAAACAAGAAGGGACGAAAGCGCAGGAAAGCGACATTCACTTGCAGGCAGACGAGTAGCAGAGCGACTGAGCTTGGCACCGAAGCAGCTCGATGACGTCACAGCCAGGGTTGACCGATTCCCGGATGTTACTTTTGCCTGTGCAGTGTAGTCGTTTATGATTCCACCACTGAAACCCCCCTCCCCCCATCCCCAAATTCCGATCTGAACTAATGAAAACTAATCATGAAAGAAAAAATGCTGATTAGGGCATTAGTGGATTAGGGTGTGTGTGCGTTGCACGCACGCGCGCGCGCGCACACACACACACACGTTCACTGAGCTAAGAAAAAGAACTGGAGATATCACTCCCTCAGGAACAGTATACGCATGCGTTGGAAGCCGTTGGAAGCGTTAGTTGGTATCATGGCTTCGCCATTCAATCCCAGGGATTAACCCGATTTTTCGTCTAACTTTATCATAATGCTTACTTGCAGGAAAAGAGCCCCCGGCGCAGCAGGTGTAACCAGTCCTCAGTGGACCCGACAGGCCCCATCGAGTCGTTCCAAGATATCACGCAGAAGGATCCCAAACGTTTGCTCCGAAGTACGAATCACCTCGCACTTTTGCGTGGGCCTGCCGTCTTAGCCTATGTTTGCTTTCCGACGTTCACTCGGAGTTCGATCGACTTCGTGTCCGAAATCGAGTCGACTCCTGGAAATTTAAGCTCTAAGTGAAGAACCCGTGAAAGGAGGTCCGATCAGACGTACTCAGGCCTATGAAACTTGGTACTGGTACTAGTACTGACTGACGACATATTCACGACAACTAGAAAACGGAATGAAGATTTGGAAATTCACATTTTAGTGAATGGAAAAGAGCCGCCATTATAAAATAAGTAAAAAAAAACTTTTAAATGCCGGAAACCCATTCTATTATGCGCCACATCAAGTTCTTTCCTCCAGCTCCACACTTCTTCAAATACGGTAGGTTGGAGGAGGGTCTGGGATTCCGGGATTTGAATATGTCTGGATCGTAGAGACAGTTTGGAGTTTTTTTTTTTTTTTGCCGAGGATGGGTCCGTGAATTGCCAGAGTAAAAGTTTCGGGCTTTCGCATGTGTTTCAGTTTGGCGTCTCCTCCCCCGGTCATAAAAATTCTGGAGACGGAAAAAAATTAACGCCTATTACTATGCAAATATGCAACATACAATTACTATATGTCAATATTTAATTATGTTCCTGCATACATCCTTGATTTTTCCTTATGCATATTTAGTGTAGGACAGGCGACCTAAGGACTCCAGCACCCAGAACCCTGCACCCTGCCCCACCTCCCCCACCCCCACCTCATAGTGTAGGCCAAGGGAACCAGGGAAATTTGCCGTCATCCCGGCGGGCCGGTCCGACACTGTGCATATTCTTGGAAAGAGGAAAGCAATCGTGTCAAGTCTGTCAATTTTGGGTTCAAAGAAACAGAGTAAAAAATATTTAAACTTTGGTGAAGCGTTTCGAGGCTCTCTCAAATTTCACACAATGAATGTAACAAAATTAACTCTGTTGGCCACTTGAACCAGCCCCAAGTGGCATTATGGTGACACCCAATGACAGCTAAGAAATTAATATATTTTGAAAAATAGGGCAAATTCCTTTCTAAGCACTCCCAGGCGTGAACGATATCTCGTGTTCACACCAATTTTGCGTTGAAATCAATGCATTGTAGAATAAATGTGATCATATAACTTGACACTGGATTCATCCCGTTCACGAAAGCATATTTAATTATTTATATCATATATTTAATATTACTCGTGCCCAGTACTCACCAAAAGTTATGGTGTGTTGATCTCTAGTCTAATGTTGGAGACGAGAAGACGCAAAACGCTGAGGGTTCTCCGTCACCTGCAACGTTCAAAAATCTTAATTTTTTTTCCCAAAAACCACCCAATCTCATCGAGGGGTGAGCAGTTGGTATGAATGGAGAATTCGTGAGGCTTAACTTTACAATTACTCCCACGCCTAGAAAACGGAATGAAGATTTGGAAATTCACATTTTAGTGAATGGAAAAGATTTTCCTCCAGTTCCACACTTCTTCAAATACGGTAGCTCCGCATTTCAGCATGATGAACAGTTGACAGTTGTCAAATGGTTAGAGGAGGGTCTTGGATTCCGGGATTTGGATATGTCTGGATCGTAGAGACAGTTTGGAGTTTATTTTGTTTTTTTTTTTGCCGAGGATGGGTCCGTGAATTGCCAGAGTAAAAGTTTCGGGTTTTCGCAAGTGTTTCAGTTTGGCGTCTCCTCCCCCGGTCATAAAAATTCTGGAGACGGTACGATGGAAAGTTTTCAATACTGGAGGCGGAAAAATGTGCTCTTGCGAAATTTACCATAGACCAAATACAAGGGATGAAAAAAATATTTTTTTTTTTCCGCAGGCCAACAACTCTTTCATGCTTTATTCTCGCAGGCTTTCTCGATGTGCAATGTTTTACCCTATTGAAGGCATATTTACAACAAAAAAAGCATCATGGAAAACTCAAGGAAAGTGAAGACTTCGAGGAAAACAAAGCAATAAATTGAGAAAATCCTGATGTTGTTTTGCAGCAGCTATTTACATCGAATTTTGCTTTTTTTTTCTCTCTCCCATTACGATGAAGTTCTTGCGACGACCAAAAGATAACCGCGCAAAAAGCTATTTTGCCAAAAGATGATCGAGTCTCACATCGCTTCGCAGTCTTTCGAAATAATTCACGACCTCGCTTTCAAACTCCGTCACTGTACAGCAGATAACGCGACCAAATTAGTTGGACCAGAGCACGTGAAAAAAAAAATGAAAGAGAAGAAACAATGAAAAAAACAACAAAATAATAATAACTTTCACTGGGCGCCGCTGGAAGGAAAATGCGCAGCGAGAACGGCGAGCAGATTGCGTCTCTGCGCCCCCCGCGAGACGCGCCCCAGCACGAATGGCTTGAACCAGTCCCGAATGGTCGAGAGTTCCAGTTTCTCCCGCTCGAGTCGCTCGTTCCGCGCCTCCTCGGCCTCGAGCTCCGCCTGGAGCAGCTGCTCCTTCTGCTTCTTCGTCTGCCGGCTCTTCCTCGCGTACTCGCAGTTCCGCGCTCGCTTGTGGGCGGCGTCCGGTTCTTCTTTGCGGTCCGTCGAGGGTTCCTTCCTTTTTCGGGTCGTTTTTCTCCCGTTCGCCTGTGGGGGGATGTGGAGTCTCGATCGGGCATTTCAACGGATACCATGGAGTTAAACTTACGTTAGACGTTGGAAAGTTTCTGGAAGGCGGTGATGTACGGGACATGTAGCAAGTCATTTTAAGGAAGTTTTTCGTCGTCAACACGAATTAATTTAAAACTCGAAAATCATTTGTGAAGGTTAGTTCGATATTCATCGTTGACCCGTGTAAACACCGGCAGAATGAAACAAATTTCGGGGGGGAAAAAAAGCCAGGAGGAATTCACTAAAATTGAATTCTTGTCCAACGGCCAATCTAAAGCGACACTTACGGCGCCAGCAGGAACTTCTCGAGAGAGAAAATCTCCGATGAAGGTGGCCGACATGGCATCGATCCTCAGCCGATCGGGTCCATCCGTCGCGAGGGCAACGAGTTTTCGGCCGAGCGGGGACGGCAGTTCGTCGAGGGAAATCGGCTTCTCCGTTTCCGCCGCGAGCCCGGTGCCCTCGAGGTCGGCCGAGGGGGGTGGGTGCCTCGTTCCCTCGGTCGTCGTGTCGTACCGCAGTCTCTGCAGAAGGGAGAAGAAAAATCGTCACGAATTGGAGGATGGGCATGGACACGTTAGGAGGAAACACACCGATGGTCTCGACATCACCTCGAAGGTGAAACCAATACGTGAGACTCGGTTTTGATTCGAACAGAAACTCAAAAGACTTAAACTAATAATTGTCAATTAGGCTCCCAATAATTAGTCCACACTCCAATCGCAAAACGCGAATTCCATCTAATAGCGCGTGAAGTCTGTGTCCGAGATACTTACCGTTCCAGAAGGAACTCGTGCCTGAGAGTATATACTCTCCATCAACGCCCTCGAGAGTAGATCATTTTCCAGTCGATCGGATCCTCTTGGCTTCGCGTCATGAAAGGAAAGTTCTTGTCTGGATTCGTTTGTCTGATGAAAATCCAGGAATTCGTTTAGGAGAGATGTTGAGCTTTCCGTTTCGACCATGGTCTCCATGTTGGTCGAGGGCGTCGTATGGCTTCTTTCTTCGATTGATGAGGCTCCGGTTACTGTTGGACCGCAGCGTGCTCCCTGCAGAAGAAATAAATCATAATAAAAACTAAGTTTCTTTGAATATTTTCATCATGTATTCACATCAACACTTGTGAAAATAGCCCGCGTTCAACGTTGCAGTAAAGAAGACCAACACGTAACACTCGGTACACACATGAAGGTCATTGACCTTGCGGATTACCCAGCTTGATTATCCCGTCGAGGCCTCATAAAGGTGCTGCAAGGCCACCGCCGGCAGACTTATCCCGAAGTTCAGGGCCATCGCGTCTTAGGCATTCCATCTAATGATCCAATGACACTTGAGAGGATCGAAGGTGTTGCACGGTTGGAGCGGATTGACCATAAATTAAGTTTGTTCGCAATAATTAGTCCGAGTATTAACCGAGATCTGGATGAAGCGGATTTAAAAAAAAAAATTTAGTAAAATTCTCTCGTGGTGCGAGAATTTTGTGCCTTACCATTCCAGAAGGAACTTGTTCTTGAAAGAAAAATGGTGTCGACAGTGCTTCGTTTCCCAGTTGGTCTGACCCGTCTGACGTCGAGGCACCGAAGGAAATTTGTCTGAATTCGTTTGTCTGCTGTGGGGCAGAGATGGTGGGTGAATTCGCTCGCGGGTCCATCTTAGGCAGTTTGTCAAGTAGGACCAGGATTTCATTCAGGGAAAATGTTGAGTTTTCAATTTCGACCGTCGCCTCGGTGTTGGTTGAGGGCATCAGGTGCATATTTACCTCGTTTGCCGAGGCTCCTGTTTCTGTCAAATGACACCGTGCTTCCTGCAGAAGAGATGGATGAGGTGAATTAAATTTGTCCACGTCGTAGGAACACAAAGACGTGCGAAATGGTAATCACGCGTTTAAGATTACCATAAAATCAGAAAATTCAAGGAGCCTCTCGATAATTAGTCCACATACTAACCAATATGGAGTCATCGGTGGGAAAATTTTGCGGAACGTGGGAACTATGTGATGCGACTTGTCTGACGGGCTGACCCAAGCAGGGACGATCTGATCGACCTTGTCTCGCCTCTGTGTAGCCTTTCATCGGTAGGACAAAAACAAATTCATACTTGTTTTTTTTTTTTTCCCCCCAGTAAATCATCTGGATTGGATCGGGAGGCTCACAGTGGGGAATTTGGGATTCCTCCGGGGAGGCAGGCGCTTCGACCTCCGTCGCGGCCGCGCTCGAGGTCGCGCCCAAGGCCGCGATCGAGTCCAACAATCCCGGGTGCCTTTCCACGTAAAGCCATGCTTCCTGGAGGAGAGAGATCATGTTCGTAATTCTTCGTGCACCGACATACCATCCTGGTGACTCACGCCACTGACCAAATGACGAAAGATGGCAATTCGTCGATCAATTTATGGCGGAAAAAAAAAACTCCTTCCACAAAAAATATTTAGGTCAAATCATTTTTGGCAAAAACGGAACGCAATTGCAATGAATCTTAATATTTTCTCGACCTTCTGGTCATATCGACCACTCTCAAAGTGGCATCGAGGTGCCACGATCAACTGAGTTGAATTCTGTGTTTTTATTCAGTGGGCCGTCGAATACATTCCTCACCCCCAGCACTCACCTCAAACAATTCACTAGTTAGGAGCTCCTCTTGGGAAATGTTTGAGACGAAACAACGCACAGGTCTCCAAGTTCCCTCTCACCTGCAATCATCAACGAACCATTAGAACTTGTTTGGAGAAAAACACTCAACAGGGTACTTGTCAGGTGGCAGCAAGCTGGAGAGAACTGAAATTTGCGAGTCAGTCGGAGCCAGAATCCAATGTTCCGAAATACGTTTAGCACCTGTTCCTTCCCCGTTTTTTTTTCTTTTTCAAGACCACCCGAGACTGATGCATAATGTTGCTCTGAAGCGATTAGTGAGTGAGAAAGCGGAGCGCATCGCTCGATCGCGCGCATTTTGTGGACCACAATAGCTTTAAATCATTTTCTATGGAAGATACTGGAGACGAGGGCAGCCATGTCGAATGGAGCTCGAGAGAACGCCCATTTTCGTCGGTACAGTAAAAGTCATGGATGTCTGGAAATTATCCCACAGAATAATGCTCATCGAGCGAAGTACTCCCAATACCGAAGTACCAATCACTTCCAAGCGAGCGAATCAGACCAACGTTTTGTCCCATCTTTCGAGTTTCCACTAAACCCAAACTCTCCCTCAGAGCGAACGAAGCAACGAACACAGCCCACGTCCGCGTCGAACCGAGAAGGACCAACGAGTTCTGCGAGCATGCGCACTAGACCGAAAGGCCATGGCCCTCGCTAGTAGGCGAAGGGGCGTGGGCGTGGCACGTGACAGTGTGACTCACTGGTGAGACGTAGCCACTCCGGGTTGCTAGAGAGATGCGTCAGGAGTTGCTGGCATTTCCTGGGTCTGGCCGAAGTCAAGAATATTGCTAATTAAATATTAAAGAATTTTGCTAATTAAAATATATCCATATTTTTGTAGTCTCTAACGTTTTCAAACCCACTGAATTTGTCGGGGGGGGGGGGGGGGCGAAGGACCCCAGCCCCCCCCCCCCCCCCCCCCCCCCCCCCCCCACCCCATAGTGTAGGCCAAGGGAACCAGGGAAATTTGCCGTCATCTCGGCGGGCCGGTCCGACACTGCATAGTCTTGGAAAGAGGAAAGCAATCGTGTCAAGTCTGTCAATTTTGGGTTCAAACAAACAGAGTAAAAAATATGTAAACTTTGGTGAAGCGTTTCGAGGCTCTCACAAATTTCACACAACGAATGTGCATGTAACAAAATTAACTCTGTTGGCCACTTGAACCAGTCCCAAGTGGCATTATAGTGACACCCAATGACAGCTAAGAAATTAATATATTTTGAAAAATAGAGCAAATTCCTTTCTAAGCACTCCCAGGCGTGAACGATATCTCGTGTTCACACCAATTTCGCGTTGAAATCAATGCATTGTAGAATAAATGTGATAATACAACTTGACACTGGATTCATCCCGTTCACGAAAGCACTCAATATTACTCGTGCCCAGTACTCACCAAAAGTTATGGTGTGTTGATCTCTAGTCTAATGTTGGAGACGAGAAGACGCAAAACGCTGAGGGTTCTCCCTCACCTGCAACGTTCAAAAATCGTAATTTTTTTTCCCAAAAACCACCCAATCTCATCGAGGGGTGAGCAATTTGTATGAACGGAGAATTCGTGATTCAGCCGTCGCCAAAATTCAATTATATTCGTCTATATTATCATTTTCCTCGGACAATATGTGCAACGAAATTCCCGATTTCCTGCAACGCAGCCCGATGAACTTGGAGAAAGGAATTCGCAAATTTGCAAAAATAAACGTGCAAATTTTATTTCAAATGTTCAAAAATCGACAATGGAGGCCCCAAGAGATTTAAGATTCGTAGCGCGGTTCACGCGAGATCTCGAGTGACATCACGCCGAACGATCCGGATCGAGAAAGCAGTAGGGCCAGATTCAGCCAACAGATGGTGCGGGTGTTCCTTTTTCCCGGTCTCTCCATGACTCGGCTGGTCGCCGAGCTGCATGAGGAGGCCAGGAAAAGCTCGCTCTGGGTCTTCCAGTTTGCTTTTCCTTCTTGGGAAATTTGAAATCGACGTGGCAACGAATACAAACGGGGGACGAGGGAAGAGGGTAGGCGGGAATGGGGGGCAATTTTTTTTAAACTTCCTTCATGATGGAAATTGGTATTCCCGTTCCCAAACGTTTCTCAGGCCTAACATTAGATACAACCAGATGAAAAGGATTCCACCCCGCTCGTTGATAAGAGCGAAAAGGGAAAAGAGAAGCAGAAGGAGGAAACCCAGACGGACGCCGCGCCAACGAGACAGACAGATGCGTCATGCGATTGCATCACTTTCCTTAAGTTTCCCGAAAATCTCGATGGATGAGATCGAGGGTTGACCTACCCTTTCTTTTCGTCTATGGCGTTATCTCCTCTGTGGAACACTATGAAACGCCGTGGAACACTCGGATAGGATACTCGAGAGGCATGAGAGCAGGAGAAAACCATTCACATGCACGACGAACGGGGACGGAAGAGCGACTGAGTCAGACACGGACACCGATGACGTCACAGCTCGCGAAGCCAGGGTTGCGCGATCCACGGAATTTATCTATAAGCTTCTGCGGCCTGTAGTTTTTCAGGATTCCTTCTTTTTTTAAATGGACCACTGAGCCTCCATATTCCTCCAAAGACCCTCCAAATTCCGGACGAACCTAGCGAAAATGACTTGTGCTGGATAAAATGCACGATCAAAGTCGACAGCGTTGCGCATACGAGACACCAACCGAGCTAAGTACTCCAACTGGCACACCCACATGCGCATGCGCAATTGAAAGAATTGCTTGGTATCATGGCGGCTCTCCACCGTTCACTCCTATTGGAGTTTTCCCAGCGTTCTTAAATGTTTATGCGATGAAAAGCAGCCCCAGCACAAGAGACGTAATCTGTCCTCGGAGTAAACGGTTGGATCCATCCAGTCGTTCCAAGACTAAGATGCATGCGGATTCCTAACTTCAGTTTAGGCTACCGGCAATAAAAGGCTATTGGGAATCGGTCTTTAGCAAGTGATAGCGGTCTGTGAATCTCCATTAATCACTTTTCATGTGTGCGAAGTGATTCATAGAGTTTAAAGCAGGCATGCATCGTACATTGGGGCAGCAGTACTGAATACTGAAGGAATTACTTTGCCTTTCGAAGTAATGAGTTCCGACCAGACGTCATCAAGCCTACGAAACACGCTTGGGAATTATTATATCTCCAACCATGACTGACGTCATCGTGTTCACATCAACAACAAAAAAAAAAGAAAAACAGGGAAGGGAAAATTGGAAAATCCCATTTTAGTGAAGTAATCCCATTTTAGGCACACAGTAGTCGGTGTTTAGGATTCGTATACTATGAAAGACCACCGACTGGGTTGGGTATCAGGCCTTACAATGATGGATCTGGCTTGATAACTATTGACCCTTTTGCGGGGTCTAACCTTAGGTGCGGCGGAATTTTCATAGCCTGCCGAACAGCCTCATGTAGACCCTGAGCCTAACTGCATGGGGAACTCATAATACGCCCTCTTATTATTGAGTGCAATGAAAATAAAGACGGAATAAGTGGCATTAATCAATTTTCAAAATACCATGCATCGTCACTGAAGACCAGGTAGGCCTAGGTCTATAGGCCTACGCGGTCTTCTTGGGCGTCAAAACTGTGTAGTGTGACGTCATGAATTGGAAAGCTATGCGTTTATTGGTCGATTAGACGCCATGAGCGATGGCGGCTGAATCTTCTAATCGGCGTGAGGTTGCCTGGCTTTCTCCATTGGCCTGTCCAGTCTAGGTATATTTACCATGTCTCTGTTCCGACCGCTTCGACCACCCTCAGTGATGACGTCACGGCACCGCGATCAGAGTCGAAACCGGCGTTTTAACTCGGTCGGTCGTGGAATGCATTACTCGCGCCCGGCACTCGCCACGATCAAGTCTGGCGCTCCTCGTGGGAAATGTTCGAGACGAAACAACGTACGGATCTCAGATTTCCCTCTCGCCTGCAATAATCAACGAACCACTTGTACTTTGGAGAAAAACACTCCACAGGGTATTTGTAATTATCAGGCGGCAGCAAGCCGGAGAGAAATGAAGTTCTCCCTCTCCCCAGGTTTTTTTTTCTTCAAGACCGCCCGAGACTGATGTATAATGTTGCTCTGAAGCGATTCGCGAGTGAGAACGCGAAGCGCATCACTCGATTCGCGCATTTCGTGGCAAACCGTGGCTTTACATCATTTACACTGGAGACGGGGGCAGCCATGTCGAATGGAGCGCGAGAGCACGCCCATTTTCGTCGGCACAGTAAAGGCCATGGATGTCCTTGAATTCTCAGTTTCGTCCCATCTTTCGAGTTTCCAAACTCGCCTGAGACCAGCGAGTACCGCGCGCATGCGCACTAGACCGAAGGAGGCCCTCGCTTGCAGGCGAAGGGGCGTGGACGGGGCGCGTGACTCGGGGGCGTGACGCGCCGCTCCGGGTTGCCGGGCGAGAGGTGCGTCGCGAGTTGCTGGCATTTCCTGGGCGGAACACCGTCTGGCCGTCAACAAGAAAAATATATTGCTAATTTTGCTAACTGCTGTTTTGGGATTTCCACAGCGTCGGACTGGCCAACTGGGATATCAGGAAATTTTCCGGGCAAGGGGGGGTTAAGGGGGGGTTAGGGGGGGAAGGGAACCTCCAGACCAATTAATGCTTATTACTATGGAGAGATGCAATATATAATTATTACATGTCAACATTGAATTATGTTCCTGCATTCATTCCTGATTTTTCCTCGTGCATATTCAGTGTCGGACTGGCGACACTGGATAAGGGCTCCTGCACCCTCCCCCCTTCCCCCCCATAGTGTTGGCTCGGACCAGGGGAAATTAGCCGTCTTCCCGGCGGGAAAGTCCGACCCTGTGCAGATTCTTGGAACGAGGGTGCTGACCGCTGGTTCGAGCCCGGTTTTCCTCGTTTCCTTTTCCTGGAAGCAGCTCGTAAATTGTTCCGTTAACGGATGTGCGGAGGGGTTCGGCCTAGCGAGATAATAAAAAAAAAAAAACTTGATAATAGGGGCTCATGGCCACGCCTGCACGCAAGGCAAGAGGCGCCGGGGCAATCCTCAGCGTTTCCCGCCTCTGTGAAATCGAGACGGGATTGAAGCGAAACGACGGAATGAAATCCATCCAATCCGTGTTTCTCGTGGATGCGGCGGAAAGCCAAGAAACGAGACGACGAGAATGGCATGGCCACACGAGGCCGTATAAAACGTGAGGCGAGGAGGAGAACGGAAGGTACCGAGCGGCAAAACCGCTTCTCCCCGTTTCCGGATTTGGACCAAGGAATGACCCACCTGCAGTTCTCGACGATTTCCTTCACTCCGACTCGATTAGAACAATCTGTGGCAGAAAAGACGAAGCGATGAAGGCACGAAGGGCGTCCGCCATGCGACGCGAAAGAACCCTAGTATTCGACTGACGCAAGCCGAGATACGTGGAACGTGCCTCCCCCCCCTTCCCGCCTTCCCCGCATCCCCCTCGCTCCTCTCTCTCTCTCTCTCTCTCGGCCGGATGACGTCACCAGTCGGGTCGAGAAGGCATTAGCGGGCGCTGCGGAACTCGTCCGGTCGGGAATGCAATAGGAAACCAGGCAACCATCGCTGGACATACTATGCAACGCGGTATGCATTCTCGCGCGTTCGAGTGGCTCGCTCCGCAGGAAGACGGCACGCTTCTGAAGCGCGGGAAGCGAAGGGCGTTGGACTCGGATCGTCTCGTGGGCCTATGTTCATCGTGTCGTCGAAACACGTCGCACAGTCGCGTTTCGGATCGGTGACGTTCGGTGCATCCCATCGACTCCTCCCCCGGCGTAACTATAAATCCACCCGTTGTGGCCTCCGGTGGATAGACAGGTCATCGGCTATTAGAAATACAATACGTAATTGGTTTCTCGGGAATCTCGTGACGTGTCCATGCAAGGAGACGTGTTCAGGCGAAGCAATCTGTTCAATGAGTTTTCTTTTTTTGCGAAAAGGTGAAAATGAGAAAAAAAAAAAGGCAGGAACATGATCCCCGGGTTCCGAGGTTGTGCTAGCCGCCATTGCGCTTGGAAAACCAGGGTCGAACCGAAGCACCACAGCGCGTTAGTCTCATCCGGTTGTGACGTCGTCGGTGACGTCACGAACGCGCGGACTGTCGTCTGCTAAGGAACTGTCGTCTGCTAGGAAGCAGTCGGACCGATTTCCTTCGAGTCTGGGCGAATTCGACGGTTGTTCGGGATCGTCTGTCGAACGAGCGCGATCGAGACGAGCGTGGGTCCGGCTGGGGGACGTTGACAGGTCACGAGATGGCCGCTTCGAGTCGTTCGACACCGAAATCGAGGTGAAATGCTGTGGGCGTGCCCGTAGACACGTATCGAAGGATTGCAAAAACTCGGCGAAGGGAATTACTGAAATTTCTAAGGATGTCCGCGGCATCAAATGATGAGAGCGAAAAATGGGAACGATGAAGCAGGACGAGAATGAAAGACGGGGGCAAAAAGGCTCTCCGTTCATCACGGCGTCATCGGAGCAGTTGTGTTCATACAGAGAGAGAGAGAGAGAGCCTTATAAGGCCATCGCAACAGGAACACGTCATGCATGCAGGGTGGATTGAAGGGAAGGAGGAGGAGGAGGAGGAGGAGGAGGAGGAGGGGAGGGGAGAGGGGTTCTGGGACAGAAAGTGTAACATTTTTTCGGTTTTGAAGCTGGACCTCTGCCTCACATTACATGTATGCAGTCAGCTGAACCACCCCGATTCCTTTTTCGAGTGAAGCAAATGTTTCTTTTCTGGCCAGTGGCATCCTAACAGGTATGAAGATTTTTGACATAACAGGTCCGTCAATGAGTTCTGGGCCTCAGCCACGAATCAAGCGGGCACAGATTTTATCTTCGCTATCGATCTTCAGCGTCGTGATCGATGGCTTGCTCCCAACGATCGCTCGACATTCTAATCATGAATTATGTGTTCTTTTTGCTTCCAAAGACCATTTTCGTACGGTCGACTTCAGCTTTTTGTCGTCGCCGATATTGCCATTCTCGATGATCCTTTTTTTCAGATTTCCAGACTCTACATTGAATGCATGGCTCTATCTATTTTCAAACCCGAAAAAGGACCTTCGACGACAAGTTGAAGTCGACCGAGCAAGAACGGTCAGGCAAGAAGAATCTCCTCATAGATGCGGTAGGAAATGGAGGCAATCTCCAGTGGCGGGAGCAGAAAACCAGCAAGGGGGGGGGGAGGTTGAGGCCAGGTAGACACCCCAACCCTACGCCTAGCTCCACCACCCAGAATGTACTTTTTTTTGAAGAAATCGTGGTCTGGCATCTTGGGTCTGTGGATGGACATTGGACTTTCCTCGAAGGGGGATAACTAAAACTGGAATTCCCAAGGAAGGCTGAAATATGCCTGTCTGTCACAGACCAGGAAGCCCAAGGGGGGGGTTCTCATCCCCTAAACCCCCCCCTCCCCCCTTCCCTACGCCACTGCGGCTCAGGTCGAAACAGGAATTCTTTACTTGCAGAGTGGTGAACGCTTGGAATGCGTTAGATAGCGAAGCAGTGGCTGTTCCTTCTGTGACTATTTTAAAGAAACTGGATCGGGCCCGGATTAAGAAGTTGCGGGGCCCGGGGTAAGTGGATTTTTTTAAGCTAACCCCCTCCCACGGTACTCACGTAAATATTTAACGCTTTTAATTTCCTTCAGGGGCCCACCCCGGAAGAGTGGGGCCCGGGGCAACAGCCCCCTTTGTCCCCCCCCCCCCCCCCCTCCCGGCCACCTGCATTACAGTATCAAGGTAATCCCATTGGTCACCCCCCCCCCCCCCCCCCCCTTCCTTCCCTACGCCACTGGACAGATGCAATGGTAGATGTCACCTGCTCCCAGGAAATTGGTCAAATGCATCTGTTAGCTTTTGGCATATTTTAATTCTAAACTCCAGATCTTTCAACGAATAGAACAGAATGAACTTCATTTTTATGTATGCCAATTAACTCATGAATTTCATCCAGATTGAGAAAACATGGAACCGAATGCTCCTGCATTTTTTCGACAGCTGAGTGACAAATGAGAACACCATGTCCAGATGGATTCACCCACCTTATCAGAAAGTGGGTGAGGGCAAATGGTAACAATACTTCTCAGACATTAATGAATATTGCACTACTTACTAAGTACATTGAAAGGAATTTCTTATGTGCAGTAACAGTGCCAAGAAATTTTACTTAAAAATCCATTCTTGTACTAATATATAATAATGATCGAAGGATTAGCTGAAAAAGTTAATTCCATTGCTCCTATTCAAGCAATAGTGGTGGCCTTTATCTCAAATGCAAAAGTAACAATTTCCACTGGCCATGATGTGCATTAAAACTAGAACTACTGGAGTAACTCTGATGCTTGCTGTTTTCCACTGGCTTTCAATAATGTGCATGAATTATGAGGACATTTTTTGAGAAACGAAAGCTAAGGGGATGATGAGTATCCTATCTATTCATATTCCTGAATTAGGATTCATTCATATCTATAGTTGAATCACCACTTAAGAGTAGACAAAACAGCATGATTAGTCAAGCCTCAAGTTGACAAGATCAGCAAACACTATTGAATATGGCAATTTAAATAAGACCATCACTTGGAATAATTGAAAAAGAATAAGCAGAACACACAGCATGCAAATATGCAAATCACGTCCCCACCCCTTTGGGGGCGACAAGCGACACCCCGCTGGGTGAGACGAGCCGCATCACGATGGGCTTGGCCTCGGTCAGAGTGTCGAGAAGTTCCTCTTTCCTTCGCTCAAGTTGACGCTTTCTCTTTGTCAGTTCCTTCAATTCCTCCTCCTGCTTTTTCTCCTTCTCTCTTTTCTTCTGCCGGCACCTCCTGGCATACTCTTTGTTCCTGGCTCGTCTCAGAGTGGCATCCGACTCTCGGTCCTCTCGCTCGTCGTCCACCGACAGTTCGTCGGTCGTCGTCGTCCCCATCTCCGTCGCTCTGCCGTCCTCCTATGGGCATTATATGAGTGACATGCAGCCAGAATAGAGCAGGGATGAAGTGAACATTCTAGATGGAGAAAAATTAAAACAGATGCCATAGAAAATTTCAATAAATTCAGGCAATGGGAAACTTATTCAATGCAAAGAAGTAAGAAATAAATTATCAACTACAAAACTTTTTACACTAGTAAAAGAAATTGATTAGTACCACAACAGATCCAATATAAACTCAGAATTCAGTTTCCAATGTTGTCTTTCACTATACAACATTCCTTGCTAACCTGTACCTGGTCAGGATCATCAGGTGTCAAGGCAAGATGGGATTGTGGCTGTCTGAATTCATTGTTATGCTGCAGGTCATAAGCAATCAGCAACTCTGTTGTCGTGTCCATCTTGGGTGTGTCTTCAAGTTGGGCTGGCAGTTCAGTTGAATGAAAGGATGTTGAGTCTTCCATTCCATCCATGTCTTCGATACCCTTGGGATCGAGCGAGGGCATCATGTGCCTCGGCTCCTCACTTCTCAAAATTCTTGATTCCGCTATGTCACACCATTGTCCCTGTAGACAAGACAAAAAAGTGAGTTTTCCTGAATTTGATATTATTTTCAGTGGGAAAACATCTTCTCTAATACCACTGGAAGTTTCATCATTATCACAAGATAAGACCTATTTATGGGACTGGGTAATTGTGAGAGAAAACTGAAACATGCATGATTTTTTATTAAGAAATCCATATTCTAACCAAGACTGAGTCATCAACATGAAGAGGGTTCTCTTGCCCTCTTGAACAGTTTTCTATAAAGAATCTGAAATACTTGGATCTTAATTTCATTGTGCGAAGTTTGTATCTGAAATATTCACCATTCCAAAATGATCTTCATTTTGAAGGCAAAGGTTCTCAACCATAGACAGTGCATCGTTCACCATTTGCTCAGGCACACAAGACAACAGAGCATCAAGGGAAGATTCCTCTTCAAATTCACCAGCTGGCTGCAGGTCACACCCATTTGGTGAAAGCGACAGGATGTCCCTCAGCTCAGACAGAGACAGCAGCGGAGAAGAGGACGTCAGGTTCTCCGTCCCGAGCGGATCCTGGACGACCGCAGAGTCCAGCGAGGGTGTCATTTCCCTCAGTTCCTTGTTTTCTGGGGGTCTTGCTTCTGCTGTATTAGAATTTGCACCCTGGAAAAAAGACAAAGAAAAACCAAGCTACATGAATGTCAATGCATTGGGCAAAAATAGAGCTGGAATGGGGTGAATATTCTAGATGGAGAAATTAGATGCAGAACTTCTTCAATGCAATAAAGTAAAAATAATGATCATTTACAAAACTTTCGCATTTGTAAAAGAAATCGCTACTACAAAAAACATAAACTCGGAATGTAGCTTCCAGTTCTGTCTTTCACTGTACAGCATTCCTTGCTTACTTGTGCCTAGTCAAACAAATTGAGCAAATTTCCTGAGGAAAATGCCTAAAAGAATTTCTGCATTCCATTCATATGAAATGGTGTGAAATAAGTGTCAGACACATACCAGTTCAAGAAGCTGTTCTTGAATGTTCCCAGACATAGTCCATGATATTGAAATGTTCATCAGGTGATCAGGATCCTCAGGTGTCAAGGCATCACAGGAATGTGGCCGTCTGAACTCATCGACATGCTGCGGGTCAAAGGCATCCAGCGAGTCTGTTGCCACATTCATCTCAGGCGGTTCTTTGTGTTGGGCAGGCAGTTCCGTTTGATAAAAGGATGTTGAGTCTTCCATTCCATTCATGTCTTCGATATCCTTGGGATCAAGTGAGGGCATCGTGTGAGTCAGCCCTCCATTTTCTGAGGTTCTTGATTCTGCTGTGTTACACCATTGTCCCTGTAGATGAGACAATAAAAGGGAGTTATTCAAAATTTGTCTACTTTTAGCATGTACAGGATATCAATATCTCTCCTATAATTAATAGTATCGGTTCATCATTATCATAAGACCAATTTGTGAGACTGGGTTATAGTGAGAAAATTGAAACCATATTTTTTTTCTATAAGAAACCCATATTCTAACCAAGACCTAGCCATCAAATTCAAGAGTATTCTCTTCTTGAACATAGAGGCTTCCCATAAATAATTTTCAATATTAGGATTTCAACTAAATCTAGTAGTGTGCGAACTTTGTGTCCGCAAGACTTACCCTTCCATAATGATCATTTTGAAGTCCAAGATTCTCAACCCTAGACAGTGCATCGTTCATCACTTGCTCAGGCACAGCCGAAATGAAGCCATCAAGGGAAAATTCATCTGCCAGCCGCAGGTCACACCCACTCGTTGAAATTGACAGGATATCCCCCAGTTAGGACAGGGACAGCGTTGGAGGAAAGGATGTCGGATCTTCAATATGAAGCATGCCCTTGATGACCTCAAAGCCAAGCGAGGGCGACATTTGCCCCGGTTCCTCATTTTCTGAGGCCCTGGTTTCTGCTGTATTACCACATGATTCCTGTAGGAAAGACAAATAAAAAATTATCTTTATGAATTTCTCAAATTTTTGAGGAAATATAGAAGCTCGAGAAAATACACTGGATCATTACCTTAGAGGAAGTCCAGTATGCAAGGCTGGATAATGGTACGAAAAGTAGCTTCAAATATAAACTGGTTCGCAATAATTTGTCCACATACTAACCTGTATGGAGTCATGGAGAGGAACCTGTGAACTATGCAATTCGGCTCGAGTGACTTCTCCCCAGCAAGGACAATTTGGCTGGATTTCTCTCGACCGGGAGACTCCTGGGTTTGTCACCTTTTGGGTGTCGTTCGTCTGGCCTGCAGAAAAGCAAAAATGCAGAATCAATTTCGCTGTTTGTAGTTCCACTGCTTCCAACCCTCTTCGCCATTATGTCGTGGGAATCTCACAGTCGGAAACGGGGGATTCCTCGGCTGCGATGGATGCTCCGCCTGCCGTGACATCCGCACCCGAATCCCAGCATCCATGGTCGGATATATCCGTATCGTAAGGCCATCCTTCCTGTGAAGAGATCGTGATCATGCAGCCTTGCGGGACTGACCGGATTGCAAATATTTCACTTGGTTAATGCGGAAATGCAATTGTGTCTAGTCTGTTAATCATTGGCTCAATTGGAGAGGAAAAAAAAAATACTTTACATTTTAGTAAAGCGCTTCGAGGCTTTTACAAATTTCACGTAACAAATGTGCATGTGAAAAAAAAATTGTTGGCCACTTTGTTGTTGGCTCTGTTGGCCACTTCAACCAGTCCCAGGTGACAGCGTGGTGCCACCTAACGACGGCTCGGAAATGAATACATATTTATGGGAAACGGGGCAAAATTCCCTCTAAAAAAAAATTCCAAGATCTCTCACGATCGCACGATCAACTTCGCGCTAAAAACATTAGGAAATAAATGCGGTCGTACACCAGCGACTTTGCACTGGATAGAAACCCTCACGACCAGTACTCACCAGAAGTTCAAAGATGTTGATCTCCTCTAGAGAAATGTTGGAGACGCGAAGACGCACACCGAAAGTTCTCCCTCACCTGCGATGTTCAACAGCGTACCAGCAAATTAGGTGGAAAGTGTTCTGAAAAAAAAAATTAAATTGAATCAATAAAACAAAAAAAAATCCACCCGCACTCATTGATTAGTTATTTCCCCCCGTACTCGGGCAAGAATAAAGGCAGATAGGCCTTAACTCGCTCAGGCAAGAAGTTCCGAGTTCCTCAACTATTTGTGGAAATGGTGTTCCCGGAACACCATTTCGTTCCAGGACTATCTGCTACCATCTAACAATCTGGCAGTGCACTCTCTTGGCTGGGCAGAATTCTATTTATTGCGGGAGCCAGAATCCTCTCATTTCCTGACCGCCAAACAGAACCTAACCGAACATACTTTTGCAGAGAACGGGACGAAAGGAGAAAAAAGCGGAAGAGGATCAAAATGGAGCCAGCATCACAGTCGAGATGGAGGAAGAGGGCACGTAGGCCGCGTCATTGCATCATCCGGACCGCATCCCCCCTGCATTTCCTCTCCGTTCCCCAATTTTTTCTCGATGCTTCATCGACCTCGATGAGGCGAAACGTTGACCTACCTCCTTTCGCGGGCTTTTCTCCTCCGTGGAACGCTATATAACACCGCAGAACACCTCGGCACACTCTCGAATAGGAAAGACGACGAAGCGAGCGAGCGAGCGGCAGGGACGCCATCCACACGTACAGACGACCTCCGAACGACTGAGCGGCTTGGCAGGAAACGGACCGACGCTGACGTCACATCACGTGATTGTCAGCAGCCAATCGGCGTGCAGCCCAAGGAACAAGGAAAGGAAGAATTTCCGATTCCGGTCCTGAAAGAGTCATCCTAGTGATCGCGTAACCGTTGAACACTATTGTGCGTAGGTCGGGAACCAAACAGCCGAAAAGTTTGGCACATTGAGTCATAGCTCAAAAAATCATGGTTGTTCTTTATTTATCCTCATTTCTCTCACGTATCAAAGAGTGCACATGGCTGTTGCTAACTTCAGAAATATTCTGTTGCTCTGAAAATCTTTCGCTCACAAGCAAGTTCCTCAATCATGGCCTGGAAGGTTCCCAACCCCTGCCATGGAAGTTTAATGATATTCCGAGTTTACGTTTTTAAGCTGCTGTAGCTCGTGTCGTTCAGTTGCTTTAGTTTATTTTTTTTTGGATTTCTGAGCTCATTCCCCACCGTTAGTTTAGTTTCAGTTCCACGTCCGCACTGAAATTGTTCATGAAACTGGAAACAGATCTCTAATCGGTCTAACGTTACACCTGTCGTATATCGGCCACGAGAGACTGAATAGGCCTGCGATTGATCTAGCGTCCTCGAAGAGACGTCTGGAAGCCCAAGGATTAATCCTCATAGGCCTAATCGGCCCAGTAAGCCGAGGCTTGAGTTTTCTTTCTCGAAAAAAAAAGGTAGGCCTGACCCGAAGAGAGGTTAGACCTAGGCCTAACGTTAGTGAGTAAAGTTAGTGATGGGGATGCGGGGTTGGCCTTCTCTCAGTGGAAAATGAGCTTTGAGTTGTAGGATCGAAGATTTCGTCTCGTACCAAATTGCTGAACTCGGCGAAGCAATCACAAGTTTCCTATTGAAAGTAAATGACTAGGTGTGCCGTGGAGAATTCCTGTGCCCATATATGTGCCACAANCCCCCCCCCCCCCCCCCCCCCCCCCCCCCCCCAAGTTACGCCACTGACTACAGTGCAGCCGAGGTGAAAGCGAGGCTGACAGAGGCAGACGCTCTCGCTTCATCTTGTAGCGTCTGAAAGCCCGCTAATGAATAAGCAGTGATGAGTGTCGCATGTTTTGCTTCTCAGGCCGATATTTCACGGCTGTGAAACTTACCAGCAATTATTATCCAAAGTTTCTTCACCGCGAATGAATCTGAAGGGGTTGCGCCGGGTTTTTGGGTCGATTCCGCTTTTCCAGGGATTGGGACAATGACTTTCGAGCAAATTTCAGTTTCATGGGCAATATCGTCTCACTGAAGGCATGCAAGCGTGAAACTGCACAAAATCCGCAAAACTTCTTGTTTTCGTTGCCTTGTGTGAAAATATCGATTTGACCCAAGGACTTTCATTTAAAAATTTTTTTTTAATTTCATATTCGAAATTTCAAATTTCGAAATTAAAATTTCGAAATTAAAATTTCGAAATTCAAATTTCATATTCGAAATGATAAAAACTAAGCTGCAAGAGCGACTTGACGACGGGGGTGCCTGCGAGCCTCATGAAATCTTCCAATTCTCCTTGAACATTATATTTTCCATGAGAAATCCAATGGAAAGTCACAAAGAAAAACTCCGAAAAGCAGGATTATCGAAAGAAGCCAAAGCAAGGCGATTTCACTTTGAACACCACAGCATTTCAAAAAACTAAATTCAGAAAATCATGTTGTAGCTGCAACTCTCGGAACTTCTTGAAAATTGTTTTTTTTTTCTTAAATCCGAAATGAACAAAATTTACACGAGCGCTAAACCTGCAATTTGCATGGGACTGCAAGGAGCGAAAACCCTTGAAAATTTAGGAGATAAATGTGCATGATGTACATGATAAATGTAAATAAAGGTTTCTCGATCCAAAATCTGGAGATGGGGGCAGTCGTGTCGAATGGAGGTCGATGTGTATTCCCCCGCTGAATAATGTTGATCCAGCGAAGCGCTCACATTTCTCAAGCACCGATCGCTTCGGAGCAACATCCTACATCGATCTTAAAAAAAAAATTCTGAAATTCCGTGATCACTTCGGAGCTAGAGACTGACGTTTCATCAGCTTTTTCGGGTTTTCACTCGACCCAAAATAACCTGAAAGCAGAAGCGATGAAGACAAACCAATTTATCCGCATTCAACGTTGGGCCAAGTGCGCACGACCAGACACGCAGGGTGTAACAAACTGGACTCGGGTCGGTCCGCTGGAGGAGGGAGGACCGCTGGAGGAGGGAGGACCGCTGGGGACAGACTCCGAGCATGCTCTATAGACCCAAGGCCATGGCACATACAGACACAGGAGCGTGGGCGGAGCCGCTCGAGGTCGCCAAGGCTGATGTGTCGCGAGTAGCAAGCGTTTCCTGGGCGAAGCACATGCGATGATGCTCATGTTAGCACATGCTTATGCGAGATGTGGCCTCGATCGTTTTAAGACCTACTGAATATGCCGAGGGGTCGAAGGTCGTAAGCCCTCGCTTCTGTTTCGAGTTTTCGTCAGGGGGACTGGTTGTCCTGCCCAGATATGACTATTCCCGCCGGGAGGGAGGGGGGGGGGGGGGGGGGCGGACCCAAGAAATATATATAGATGCGTGGTTATTACTGTATTTTTTTCACTGTGAGAATTTGCGAGATGTAATTATTATATGTCAACATTGAATTGTGCCTTAATCCATCCCTGACTTTTCTCATGCACATTCTTGGTGGGGTGAGGTGGGGGCGCTCCGAGACCGCCAGTTCGACGCTGGCTTTCCTCATTTGATTTTCCTGGAAGCGGCTTTGATACTGGTCCGTCAACGGATATCCGGAAGGGGCGCGGCAAAGCGAGATGTGGAAAACAATATGGGCAAGCCCGGTGCAGAAGTGGGCACCCGTTTATTTAAGGAGACCTTCATTTTGTCAACTACTAAATAATATGTCGTGTCTTTCCGGTCCTCGGACGTATAAAAATCTCATTTCTGTTCGATTAGGCGAATCAACCCATGAAATGATGGATGGACGGTTGTGCGCGTTTCGATCCGTTGTGCTCCGGATCCTCAAGGGGTTTTGGGAACTCGTGCCTTCCCCGACCCCGTAGACGTTACGAACGTTACGAAACGTTACGAACAGCGAAGGAATGCGAAACGCCGAGGACCGCGAGGGCGAGGATGACACGAGCGATGACCCACCTGCAGTTCTTGCCGATTGCGATCGCGACTCAGAAAAACCTGCAGTAAGAAACACGAAGGGATGAAACCACAGCGGAGGTGACAGCCATCAGACCGAATGCGGTAACCGTTCCAGACTGACGCCAGCGACGTTCGCGGAATGGAGCTTCCCCCTTCCCCTCCCCCCTCTCTCTCTCTCTCTCTCACTCTCCCTTCGGTGGCGCGATGCTCACGTGATCTCTCGCTTTCATTCGCCTTCTCTTTCGCCCTGGTTCACTGACTTGCGTTGTGGTCGGGAGGGCAGACGTGCATTCCCAACTGACTTCGGTCTTTTGTCACGGATACCCTCTTCCTTGAAATTCGTGGAGGTTGTCATTTAATATATTCTTACGTATCGTCGTGTCACGCACGCACCTCCCACCCAAACGAAAATTTTGACCTCCGTGACTCGAATTCTCACGTTTAACGAGGCCAAACGCGATGTCTGGCCAGATCGTCATTCGTACCGTGCTGGAACGTAACGGTGCCGTTCCCACCGGCTACAACACACGCTCCTGGCAGAGCAACCAGGGCCGTATCTAGGATTTCATTTCGGAGGGGGGGAGGGGGGGGGGATGAAACCCCCCCCCCCCCCCCCCCCCCCACGCCCCCCGATCGAAAAAAAAAAAGGGGGGGGGGAGATGTGACTGCACCTTTACATAAGAGGAGACTCGAGTAAGAGGACGGTGGGTAAGTAACCCTGATGTGGGGTAGGAGGGGAGTTTACCAGGTATTGGGTTGTAACATATATTCCCGCTGCCTTTACACCCTGCTTGTTCTCACTCCATACCTTTGAAGTTTGGCAAAGTGGACATAGTCATTCGAAAGAGCGCTCTTTCCTCTACAAACCTATTGCCACCATTCCTCCGAACAACTCAACCTTACTCAACTTTCAGGTACTTGAAATGGAAACACCAGGCAAGTATCATACTTAGTAGTATCATACTTATATCTATATGGATATATTGGAAATATATTTCTCTTGACGGCGCATGGACGGTGTTTCGCCCAGGAAACGCTAGAAACTCGCCACATATCTCGGGCCTTAGGCAACCCCGAGTGGCCATGTTACACGCACCGCCCATGCCCCTGCGTCTGCTAGCACATTTCATGGCCTTCCTGCGCATGCGCGCTGTACTCGGGTCGAGGTCGGTCCTCCCGCGGACTGACCCGACTCGCACGTTTTACTACGCCTCTAGTCTTCATTCAGGTGAGACCCGTCATTGCGCTAGCACAGTAGGTGGACCTCCATTATTTTCTCCCAGGTTCGGTGTCAAAGATGGAAGAAATGCGGCTCCCGGGGTGTGTGTCTCTCGCTAGTTCTCTGAGGTTAGAGTGCGCTTGGGTTTAGTGAAAACCCAGAAAAGCTTATGAAACGTTCTCTAGCTCCGAAGTGATTACGAAATTATAGATATTTTCGAGACCACTTCAGATTGATGCATAATATTTCTCTGAGGCAGTTGGTGCTTGAGAAATAGGAGCGCTTCGCTTGACGAGCATTGTTCAGCGTGAGAATACAGGCATCAATGGTTTTTACTACGAAAATGGGCGTTCTCGGCCTCCATTCAACATGGCTGCCCCCATTTTCCGTATTTTCCATAGAGAATAATGTAAAACCATGGAATGCCACAAAATGTGCTAATCATGCGATGCGCTTATCTTTCTGGAGCACCAATCGTTACAGAGGAAAATTATGCATCAGTCTCAGGTGGTCGAGAAAAAATCTGGGGTGGGAACGGATTCTAAACGCGTTCCGAGGCGACTCACCTAAAGTTCTTGCCGATTGTGATCGCTAAGACGAGAAAAATCTGCTGTAGAAAGCACAAGGCGACGCAGAGACGGAGGAGGAGGCATCCGCCATGAGAGCGACTGGAGGAACAGTTCCTGACTGACGTCAGCGAAGTTCGTGGAATGGAGCTTGCCTCCCCCCCCCCCCCTTTTCTCTCTCTCTCTCTCTCGTTTCCTCTCCCTCTCTTTGCTCTCGCTTTCATTCGTGCCGTTGTGGAACGTAGCGGTGATATTCACTAGCTTCTCACGTCATTCCCACTGTCTGCAATGCAGGCTCCTAGTATCACTCTGCGGATGTCATACCCACCCTCATAGCCGAATGGCAGGAACCAAGTTTGATTTGAAACAGCGAGGAATGATGGGAGCATTCCTTCGCCTCTGTCTCCGGTTTCCTGCTGTTTCAACTTAATTACGCTCTTTCGGTATTTTTGGATCGTGCTTTACGTCCACGACTAGCTCACGAATCTATAAATGCCAAAGCAACATTATTTATTTTCTAAGATTTCACTGGCCAACGAAGCATGAAATGAATAAAAAAAAAACGAAAAACGGCTGAAGGGGAGCACACCTCGATTACGAAATTGCTGGGGGAGACACGACACTGCACTGAGGTAGCCAGGTATCAGGATTTTCTCTGGTTCTGCAGGGTCCGGCGAACACGTTTTCTGTCCTCTTCAATTCGTCCTTCGTTTGCTGTTTCTTGGCTTTTTGTCTCTTCCGCCGATTCCCGACAGATTCGGTCTTGATGGCTCGTTAGAATCTGACGAGTCTAACCCGGTTGGCTTGGGAGCGATGTCTGACGGTGGCTCCTCTTTCTTCCACCAGATCTCTTTCCATTTTATTCATTAGCTCTTGAAGAGAGACATGGTGCGAGAATCGAACGGTGATCAAGTTTTCCAGGGGAGGAAATACAATGCAATCTAAGAAACCAATGTAAAACCCTTATTTCGCTTTTCCGACACTATCCACGGAAACATTGAACTACCACTTTTTCTACATTTACAAGAAAAAGCCACGGGATGTGTCTGAGCTATTTTCCAGCGCAAAAAGGAACTGCTCCTCAAACGCAGCGTCCCCAATCATCGTCCTCGACAGTATATCGATCCCCAGCTGATCGGCCCCATCCGAGGTTGAGGCATCAAAGCGAAGTTCTCCTTCGAATTCATCACCAGCAGAGACGTTCAGCGAATTTGCTATCCAGTCCATCTCGTCGTGTAGGTCAAGCGATTCATTCGGGGAATGAGATGTCGGGGATTCTGCACCAACCATTTCTTGAATCCCCTCAGAATCGTTTGAGGGCATGACATAACTCATTTCCTCACTTGCTGAGGGTCCTCTTTCCGTTGAAACCCACCACGCCCCCTGCAGATTAGACAAAAAAGTCGGTTAGCTTCTTGATTTAATCAATATGAGCATGCATTGACACTTGTGGAAAGATTTTGCCACTGGTTCAACGTTGCCTTCTGACCATTGTCTTATTATATAATAATTGTGAGAACGGTATCTTGAAAGGTCTGACGGTTCTCAATAAGTCCACATACTAATAAAGATTGAACCGTCGAGAGGAGACCCTTGAATCTTGAAGTTTTAGAAAGAAAGAGCACTGAAAGTCAGTGGTGGACGAAGATGGAGATACTTGCCATTGCAGAAAGAAGCCGTTCTCGAAGGTATTCATTCCCAGTCGTCGAGGGTCCATCGCGACGGGAAGGCTCATCCGTCGGCTGCCGGGAAGAGGCGTTCCGCGGATTCGCCCGAACGTCCTTCGGATCGGCTCCTTCTTCTAGTTCGCGGGGAGGAATCAATGGTGGGTTTCCCGATTCGAGACCGTTAGCATCGGTTGGGTGGGGCCTTGCTTCGGTTTCTTGGCCTCCTGTTTCTGCCGTATTACGAAGTGCTCCCTGGAGGAAAGACGGGAAAAAGTTGTGAACCTCAGGAATTTGTCGTTTTGAGAAAATATAGAAGCTTGTGAATAATCATTACCCTGGTTAACAAAAATCAAATAGTTCATCCAGACATTAGAGAGCTGGTTGGATATATGAACCCTGGCTGCCGTTAAGAGAAATTACTCTGATAGCTTGTAAAAGAAAAAAAAAAGAACGAAGAGAAATAATGGGGATAATACATGTCCTCAGGCAGGCTAAATGAGTTGATCTGCCTTGGGAACATGGTGCTTCAGTTTTGTGCTAATGTCGTCGAAATCTTGCTATCTCTCTTCATACGGAATATGACAGTGACAAGTGAAAAATGGAATGGCAGGTCAGGTGTCGACGGTAAGGTGCTACGTTTTTCTAATATACAATTTTTAGTTCTAGTAATTGTATGCATGTCACCCTGTCATATTTTCTTTGCTTCTTGATATTATACCTAAAGCCGAAGGGAAGACAATGATAGGCCTTTTACAAGGTCGCTTGTTGCGTCCAGGAGAGCGGAGTTCTTACCCTTTGTGAGTGTCCAAAGATCCGCCCGCTCTTTAATGCCAGGATCAACTTATTGTACGTAACGTTAATATATGACAGAAACGTGGTAAGAAAACAGTATTTTGAAACACAGTGATTCTTGACAATTACTCCACACACTAACCGATGTTGGGCCATCAGGAAGAGCCTGGGACGGAACAACGTGTGACGTGGCCTGTCGGACCTGCAGATCCCAGCAGGGAGATTCGGTTCCTCTCGGTCGGAAGACTCCAGAGCTCGTTGCCTCTGGGTTCCCGCTCGTGGGGACTGCAGGAACACCCAGAAATAATTATAATATTTATATACTTATACTTCAAGCTTTCTTCTCGGGGTTCGTCCGCGTGTCATAAATGCACTATGGGAAACTCACAGTAAGAAGTGGAGGGTTCCTCGATTGCATTCGAGGCCCCGGACCCGCTGCTGTGGGTTTCTACGAAGTAAAGCCATTCTTCCTGAAATTAGAGGGAGATACATCCATTTTTCATTATGGATTATTGGATCGACAGCAATGGGTTTTCAAAGCGTTTTGAGGCATTCCATTAAAAAAAATAAATAAATCTACATGCAGCGGAATTTTCAATCCTGACCGCGCCGGTACACGATTACTCACCTCAAGCGGTTCAGAAGTTTGGAGCTCCTCAAAGGGAATGTTTGGAACGTGGAGACGCCCGACGCTGAAAGTTCCCCCTCGCCTGCACCCGTTAGCTTGCAAAAAGTTGGAATGAACGGCGAATTCGCGGATCGGCAGCAGTCAGAATCAAATTCTATTCACCGAGATCCCTGGAAGTGAAAAGAGATCGGCATGGGGACTCAAGGGACAGATTCTGAGATCAGATGGCGGGCGTGTCTTTCCCACTGTTTTTCCCAGAGACATGGTAAATATACCTAGACTGGACAAGCCAATGGAGAAAGCCAGGCAGCCGCACGCCGATTAGAATGGTCAGCCGCCATCGCTCATGGCGTCTAATCGACCAATAAACGCATAGCTTTCCAATTCATGACGTCACACTACAGTGAGTTTTGACGCTTTCCAAGAAGACCACGTAGGCCTAGGCCTACCTGGTCTTCAGTGACGATGCATGGCATGTTGAAATTAGATTAATGCCACTTATTCCGTCTTTATTTTCATTGCACTCAATAATAAGAGGGCGTATTATCAGTTCCCCATGCAGTTAGGCTCAGGGTCTACATGAGGCTGTTCGGCAGGCTATGAAAATTCCGCCGCACCTAAGGTTAGACCCCGCAAAAGGGTCAATAGTTATCGAGCCAGATTCATCATTGTAAGGCCTGATACCCAACCCAGTCGGTGGTCTTTCATAGTATACGAATCCTAAACACCGACTACTGTGTGCCACAGTGAATCCCATGCCTCATCCTCTCCTTGACGCCATCAGTAATGGCCGCCAGCCCTTCAAATCGGCGTGAAATCTTCGACTGCCATGTCTCTGGTTTTTTCCAATCCTTGATCGTTCTGCCGATCGTCGCGGGGCATACTAAGGTTGTAAATGCACGGTGCCGTTCCGGTTGTTCATAAGTATTCCCATTCGTTTACTTCGAGGGACTTTGGAATCGGCATAGCTCATTGGTTGGTTCTGCACGCAAATCGATCACTTGGAGTCACGACCTGAAATTCAATACTTCCTGACTCTGTGACTAGGGAAATTACGAAAAGTAAATTACTATTAAGTAAAAACCGACCAAAACTTCTTCACAAGAATGAGACGTAGATAGACGAGGAGCAGGCGCGTGTGCTGGAGCACGGACGCGTTATCAGGCACTTATTGCCTTTGCCCTTCTTAGGCCTATGCCTTGTGAAAGGAAATATACTGTATATAACATATCCTGCTAATTTCATTTCCCATTTCCACGATAAGATGAAGGGCTTACCTCCGGCTGTTTAATTCCGGCGGTGTCGTCTCCGACTCCCCTAGCTGAAACACTCCAACAGGAAACAAGAGCAGAGAACGCGAGGAGACGCCATGCACACGACGAGAGCGAGTCGCTGAATGACGGACGGCGCCAACTTAAGAGTCCTGCGCGGGATGCGGCCCGGCGTGACTCGACCCGACTCGAACCGCGGGCCTGTCCGGGGTCCAAATTCCGAGATCCTTCTTCGGGTGAGGACGAATGTTTTAGTTGCATTTTTATTTTTATTTTATCGCTTCTCTGGTTTGAGACCATGGAAACTCCGTGCCATGACTAATCTCATCTGTGCATGCAATCCGAGAGAAGGAAAATACTTCATTGTTCCATTCGTAATGTAAATAAAGGCAGAAAGACTCAGACGGGCATGGGCAGTTGGTGCCACTCAAGACCGGAGCTTCGCTATGGCTCCTCTTCAAATAAATTTTCTCCTGTCTATCAGTCTTTGCGACTATCGACAACTTCCTGTTTCTGCATAGCAAAATTGGAATGATGAGGTGAGACGGGAAAGCATAGGTTAAAGTGTTTAATTTTTGCTCGGGTTTGGTCGGGTGGAGCCGTGAATTTGGATTGGAATTCGGGCTTCGAATCGGGTGCCAGCATTTACTTGAATCGGGCCTATCAGGAAAATCAGCCCGTGCCAGACTCTACGCATGCCTCCACTCGCCTGGTTCGTGACGTCACCACATGGCCTGACGACCGTCAGCCAATCAGTGTTTACTTCACTCGTTCATTTCGTTTATTTTTCCAAGCACTTTGGCGGGGCCTAGAATAGGAATTCCTCCATAAATCGACCGGAAAAGAGAAAAGCAAGTTTCCGAAGGCTAAAAATGTCGACCAAGAACGAGAATGCCAAGATTTATTCTTAATATAAGCTTCTTTTTTAGCTTTGATAATATTTTTCTAATATTAATAGCTAATGTTTTTCATTTGAGTTTTTCCCGTTTTATATTTGGAACATTAAGGCGAAGGGCCCTGAATATGATATTCCCCTTGAGCATTTCTTTCCCTCCTTCACGCGGAAAACCTTGTGGAAGGAATATGTTCCCCAGGCTTCCATGGAAAATCCTGGCCTAATCGGAAAAACTCCGGTGCCCGCCAAGCTTACGTAAATATATAGGAATTTAGTTATCAACTGAGCTCGAGTAGCTTCCAGTGGGAGATGATTGGCTCCCGCGTCATCCTCCGCTCCCGCGTCATCCTCCGCTCCCGCGTCATCCTCCGCTCCCGCGTCATCCTCCGCTCCCGCGTCATCCTCCGCTCCCGCGTCTTCCTCCGCTCCCGCGTCTTCCGTTGCTTCGCTCGTTGAGCAGGTTCGCAGACCTCCAGGGCCGACTGAGTCGAGGTCGGGGAGGTTTCCGGATTGAAACTAATCGTTACCGTGGCTAATTGAATCCAATTATATTTTCGCTAATTAACTCAGCTTTCTCGGACCTATCAAACGATTGCGATGGCGTCGATGTCTCGTACACGATTGGCTAGGTTGCCAAGGGGTTTTCACATGATTATTTTCCAGAGCATAAATCTATCGAAGGAAGCAAGCATCCCATTACTTCTTCTTTATTTGGATTTATTATTACTATTTTGTAAATTTTCCTTATTAGTCCGGTTCAGACGTGAGAGAAGGCTTTCCCTCCAGTTCGATCACCAATTCCATGGACCAGAGAAGAGACGGACGAACCGGAGTGAAAATGCGAATGAGCTCCAGTACAGGCGAAATATCGATCTGTAACACCTATATCTCTCCGTCAATGAGTATTTTTGTATTTCAGTCTCACCTTCAGCAGGTCGAGAGCCATTTTTGCTATTGAGTAATTACGATACATCAGGAAAGGGAAATGGCAAATTATTGAAGATACGCGCACCAAAAACGGTTAAAAACTTCACTCCTTTCGTTGCAGTAATTAACGACCCAAAGTCGGGTTTCAGGTCGGGTCTGTCGGGTTTCAGTTTGATTTCATTTCAGGATGTGGGATTTTATGAATTAACCCAAAATTTGTGAATTGACTCCGTTAACTCAAAAATCCATCGTAATTAAAGCGACGCAATTTATTTACAGAGATTAGATAGGCAAAAAACCCAGACGCTGCAAATTGCTGTAGGGAAGCACGCGTTGAATATCATATCGATGCGGGTCACTCTGGGTCGCGCCCGCGGGGCGAAACGCGGCGGGGCGAAGCGAGACGGGGCGAAACGCGACGCTTTGCACCTTGAGTCTGGCGAAGGCCAGGAGGCTCTCGAGTTCCTCTCGGCGCCGGCGGAGGTCGCGTCCTCGCGCCTCTTCCGTCTTCAGTTCCGCCGCCAGCTGCTGCAGCTTCGCTTTTTGGTTCTTTCGCCATCTCCTGGCGGACTCGGCGGCCTTGGCTTGCTTCTGGCTCCTGCGCTTCTCTTCCTTTTCGCACGGTTCCTTTTCTCTCGGGGGATTCCCAACCTACCAACAGGAAGGGCGAACGGGGATGCAGGGAGGACGGGAATGAGCAATAGAGATCAGACAGAAGAGATTTAAAATAACATCCAGGCTGATTCGGGTGAAGACAATTTTCTTACATGCAAAAATGACATCAAAATGCAGATGGGTGGCAATGATGGAGATTTTCATGAAAATCTTTCTACTCCACTTACATTCATGCAATTTAATCTCAGAAGTCAAGTTAAAACACGCGTATTCACTTCTCAATATAATATGCTACACATGTAAACATGTCAAATAAATAACCCATTAAAAATAAAGCCTTCTAGCATTCAAATCCGTCCAGTACCCATAAAATGTCAGAGACAATTATTTTATACCAGTGAAGGTCGTTCTTCTTCAACGAGACCGTTCCCGATCATCGCCATCGACAATATGTCCATCCCCAGCTGACCAGACCCTCCTGACGTCACGGCGAAGGAAATTCCCCGCCCGGATTCGAATGACGGCAGCGGGGCAGGGGCGGTCGGCGAGTTCGCTGGCGGGGTTGGGGTCTCCGTTGAGGCCGGGCGGTCGATGCCCCCGAAGTCGGCTGGGGGGGTCGGGGGGCTCGAGGTCTCGCTTGGTCCTGCTTCTGGCGGATGATGCCATGCTCCCTGCAGAAGAGAGAGAGAGGGAGAGAGAGAGAAAAAAAACAGATCTTGTAAATTTCAGCACGTGTATCTGTATGATGAGAATTCATAGACACTCTGGTTTAGCTATCCCTTAAAGGAAGACCAACAAAGGTTATTATGAGAACAGTAACTTGACACACGTGTGATGGTCCTCAATAATTAGTTCACATACTGATCAAGATTGAGTCATAAAAAATTGCACCCTCATGAGGTTGAACTATGGAGTTTTTCATTGGAGATTATAAGGGACTCAAGACTTCGATTCTGTCTTGACGATGAGTAAACTTTGTGTTTGAGGTACTTCCCATTCCAAAATAATAAAAAAATTGTTTCTGAATGAAAAAATTCCGAACGATCACCTCAAACAGCCAGGCGTTCTCCAGTCCATCGAAGGAAAATTCCTCGTTCGATTCGTCGATCGGCAGCAGGTCGAAGGTGTTCAGCGAATCCGCGAGCACGTCCCTCAGCTCGGGCAGGGACAGCCAAGGGGGGAGGGAGGCGGGGTCTTCCGTTTCCGGCGGGTTTCCGGCGGGGGAGGGAGTCGCTTCGTTGGCCGCTGTTTCTGCAGGAGTACTCCGTGTTTCCTGCAGAAAGAGGGATGAAAAACGGTATGCCTTTTTTTTGGGTGAGATTTTCAATATTTTGAACGCCTGCACAGGGTGTTCAAAAAGTCATGCCATCCACGGTATCAGTCCTTTTTAACCACCATATTGATCTTAGCTCATAAAAAACCACACGCGTTGAACATTACCTTACGGAAAGACCAATTTTCAAGACCGAGAAATGGAAAGATTTCATGGAAACAGAATCCGGTTCCCGGGGAATTCCGTCCACGCACTAACCAGTATCGGCCCACCACGAGGAGCCTGGGCCGGAACGCCGGAATCAAACGACGCAGCCTCTCCCCCCGGTTTCTCCCCGTAAAACCCATCCAATGGATTCCCTCTCGACCGGGCGACTCCCGAGTCTATCCCCTCCGGCCTGAATCCCGCCCCAAACCCACTGCCGTCGACTTCCTCCAGGTAAAGCCATTTTTCCTGCAAGAGAGAAAGTGCGATGCATTGTTCATCTTGCGGCAGCGGATCGTAATGCCGCAGGATCGCGTAATTGGCCTGACCACAAACATATCAATGCCAATTGGTTATACAGAATTGCAACTGTGTCTCAATTCATCGGCCAGTGTCAACTTGGAGTGCATGCGGAGAATAAAATAATAATGTTTTGTGCAATACTTTGAGGCAATCCATTTGATGAAACAAATCTGCATGTGACGAAACTTTCAATCTTGTCGATCTGCTGGCCGATCGGTCCACTCTCAGGACGACGGCACGGCTTGAAATTGCAGAATATATTTTACGGAACGGAGCCATTTCTTTTTCCAAGAATGCCAACGTCACATTTCATTTAAATGATATCTTTCCCGACGAACCGTTTAACTTCGCGTCAAAATCGATGCATAGCAAAATACAAGGCTTTCATTCGGCACATGCGACTTCGGGCTTTGAATTTCTCCATTGCACAGAAGCACTCACGCCAAGCTCTCGCACCAAGCTCTCACGCCCAGCACTCACACCAAGCACTCACCCAGGGCCACTCTTCGGTTCGGAGCACTTCTCGGGAAATGTTTGACACGGGACCACGCACAGAACTCCAACTCGTTTTCCCTCACCTGCAACAGTCAACAGAGCGCCAGCAATCACGATAGAGTACCAGCGATTAAATACTAAAGTGGTAAATAGTCGGAGTGTGCAGAATTCGTGGGTCATTCTGTTTTCCTTCTGGGACTTGGACTGGGCAGAAAAAAAAATCTTTCTTTTCCTACGTGCCGTTTTCAGTCCGATAAGGAGAAAACTTAATTCTGACTCCTTCGAATCCGTGAGACGACTCGGAAACCGTGTCGACCCGTGTTGAATGAGTCGACTCGATGAGGTGTAAGGATGAAGTTGCAAACAAATAGGGCCTAAAGAAGAGCTGAGAAGGAAATTCCGGAATGACGAGCGTCATAGCCTGAAAAAAGAAGGTAAAAATTATGAAAACGATAAAAATGTATCATTCTTAGCTGAACTCAGCCGGTATCGCGATTATCGGCCTTGCTACCCAACCACCTTTTTAATATAACTGAAATTTGTTCTTTATTGGAGTGGCTCTCGTTTCTTGGAATGCATATCCGCTGTGCTCGGGAACCACGAGCGATAAAAGTCGCGCAATCCCTGTGGAATGCCCGGCGAGAGAATTTTCATTGCGGAGGTACCGAGGGGAAACGACCGTGTGATGAGATCGGCCCACTCGAGATAGGGAATTCCAGTCGTCGAGCCCCAGAGATTCAGATAAGGGCGTTTCGACGAAACCTTAATGGGAAAAAAACGCACGTTGTTCGACAGTTCGCTGAAACGTCGCAAGCAGAATTCGTCGTTGCCAATTTTCGTCGCACTTTGGTACTTGCTCGCAGACGAAGTGAGCGGTAAGGTGAATCGTTGCACCGGATGGCCGGATTTCCCGGATCACTCGGGAGAGGGAGATGGGTCCCCGTTGTTTTTCACGCTTTTTTGCGACGCACCGATCATGTGCGAGAAAAATAATGTGAAAACCACTTTTGAAAAGCTCTCCTTTTCTTCAATCTTTCTCTCTCCCTTCTCCCTAGCGGACTGTCTTCAGGTCAGGCCTGGGCCAACCTTTTCTCGTTCAAAAGAATCTCAATCCTCAACACTCGATTCAGTGTTCTCGGCAACCCAGCGAGCTCCAAATTTGCCGGATCGATTCTGTCTTGAGGAGGTAAGAAACATGCAGAAATATGCGTTCCTGTAGATGCTCTCAGAGAGGAATACGAGGAGGCTACATTTTGCGAAAGGAAGGAGTTGAAGAAAGGTAATAGGCGCAAACAAAGCCTATTCATGCATCAGACTGTAAATGCGAATAAGTACCGATACGAATACAGGCAAAGTATTGATCTGGCACTCATCTGATATCGATCCGTCAATTAATATTTCTATTCATCAGTCTCTCCTTCAGTAGGTCAAGAGTCATTTTCATAATTGATCAATTAAATTACCTCCACTATTAAGTAAAAAATCCGCGGTGATTAAAGCAACGGAATTTAGAGATTGGACAGACAAAAAACCAAGACATTCCAAATTGCTGAAGGGAAGCATGCATTGAAAACTATACTGATGCGTGTCACCGGTCCCCTGGGACACGCGAAGGGGCGAAACGCGACGAAGAATTAAATAGAGTACCGACAATTACAATAGAGCGCCAACAATTATGTACTAAGGTTGCAACGAGTTGAAGTGAGAGGGGAATTGGAACTTGTGGATTAGTTGGAGCCAGAATCGAATTCTGCTCAGAATTTGATATAAAAAACGGAACCGTGATGAAAGCAATCGAAAGTAACTTTCATCGATTCGGATCAACGTATCCACGGATGCATCCACACACCCACGCAGACGGACATCGCCCACGGCAGAAGTGAGCGGGTTTCCCGTTTTGTAATGCTCGAAGGACCGCCGAATCGACAGATGAAATTCGCGGCGTGAAGAGGCCGAGAGGACAGCCGAGGAACGCAAGGGAAGAAAATGCCGGAATGACGAGCGTCGCTGGAAAGGCTTAAAATTTTTTTCTGATAATTCTTGACGGAGAGCTGAATTCAGCCGGTTATCGAGGCGGTAGACTTCTGTCCTGAACGCGTCAAAACGGTCGAATAGAATCGAGAGCTACGAGCAGAAATTTTACCTCGAGCGGCATTTCGACCGAAAAGGGGTTGAAAAGGCGAAATGTGGCACGTGAAATGCACGACATGGCTGTACGTGCCAGCCATCTCTGTCTAGTCTCTCCTTCAGAGCGAGGAGCGGAGATTCCAGACCTGCAAAGCCTTTAAGAGTTGACCCACCTTGTGTTTTCGTTGTTAGTGCTGTTCGACTCTCCTAGTTCGAAAACTCTCAGATAGAAAACTGGACGCGATGAAGAAATGCAAGACTCGCCATGCGTGTAATACCGTACTGCTGGGCTGACTGAACTGAACGAGGCAGGAGAGGATATCAAGGCACGTCGAGGGGGTATTGACGTCATGAGGGTGTCAGCCAATCAGCGGTCTTGACGTCATGAAGGTATCATCCAATCAGCGATGACAGAATTCACGCACAGACGGACCAGGAAATTCGGGATGGAAGTGACCCCTGGATGCCTCTGGCATCGTCGCAGTATCGTGAGACGGATGCCCTCAATCGAGTGGCTCTATCGCGATTTTTCGCTGGCTCACTTCTATGCCTCCTGGACTTGTAAACATGCATAAAGAGCATGAAGCTAAATGGAGAGCAGTGTGGAATCCCGGATACGTAGGGCGAAAACACGGGAAATCGATCGGAAGGCGAACGCCCTTCACAGCTTTAAAATGACCTTGGTCGTTGGCGCCGCGAATTTTCCAAGATAAGGGCCAAACGACCAAGAGATAGAGAGGCAGGCCCTCATTAGAGATAGGTCTTACAGTCGTTGAGCTCAATTATTTCCCTTTTGGTTTCGAGGCAGCGGACCGGATAAGCCTTATCCGATAAAGATTTCCATCTTAATATTCCCTTGCATTATTCCCGTTTTGAGAGTGACATGGGAATAATCTAATTGGTTGCCGATGTTGCTATGTTCGAGGGAATTCGGGAAAAAATTAATTTTTTAATTAGTTGTCATTGGAGCAGGAACTTTTTTTTTTTTACCATGAACACTTGCTTGCAAAAGAGTTTCAGTTGAAAATGTTGGATGAAATTATGGTTCCTCCAGAACTAAAGAAGAAAATATGGATTCCAGTTGACTTTTAAGGAGTTGCGATGTCCGACAGCAATCCTTTAATTTTCCATATACCAAGACTTCAAAGAATCAATGCCTATGTTAGGAAATATTAATTTCGTGCTTCTTCCTTGTTTACGAATGAAAAGAGCACTCCCGGAAAAGGGATTTGCGCAATGAACAGGAAATAACATCTTAGCTCAGCTTGGAACGGATGCAGTATCTGCACGGAAAGGTCGCAAGTGGCACACTTCACAGGACTAATATCCTGATAATGCGGGTTTTCCTTATTGCTCTATCGGAAAAGCACAGGAACTTGCTATGGCCTCTCGATTTCCTTGTACACATTTCAAAAGGCTGACGCCAGAAATGATCTTTTCGTGTGTTCACATCTCGAAAAGAGATGGTTCGCAGATCCACAGAGGCAACGGCGTCGTAGTCAAGGATGCCAATAATTTCGCACCATTGAATCTTCACTGACATGAGGACCTACGGTCCATTTGAGGACAACCACCTGCCACGGATGGATTCCTTGAAAGCGAACAATCATCATGGCTTTGGTTAAATTTCATTTTAGGTACACGAAGTCAAATTTCTCGTTTCATCGAGCACATATCGCTCACTCACACTGATTTTTGTGGCTTCTTGCTAACCGAAACACAGCACGCTATTTGGTCCCATCGTCGTTCGAACGAGAGCTTCTCTCATCTGAAACGTTGACACTTTCTTCACGTCATTCCCGCCGTCTGCTGTGGGCGCCCCAGGCGTCGCTCCACGAAATACTCGCACTTTCGTTGCTGGATGGCAAGAAGCGGGTTAGAGATGAAACAGAGAAGAACATCCTCGCGAGGAGCTGCAGGAGGAGTGGTGGTGGCATTCGTCCTCTTCACCCTGCTGTTCCTCCTTAGTTGCGTCGCTCGAGTTTCGCTGGATTTCGTCATGTCGGTCATGCGACCACGTTTTCCAGTTCCACCTTCAAACATTCCGAATGCAGCTGAGGGTCGCACATCTCTATTTTAAAAAATTTCGTCCTTCGCATTCATTCCTTGGTCATTCCGAATCAAATGAACACACAAAAATTGAAATTTGACTTTACCACATTCCGAAGCAATTAAATTCTGTGAATTAATTGGGTTGATTCATAAGTTAATTTATGTCAAACTAGCTCAATAGGTTAGGTGCCTTCCAAGGTGCAGCGATTCGAATATTGCCAAGAGAATCGATTTCAGGTAAGGTGGTTATCGCTCAAAGCGCCCATAAGTTTTGCGCTAATGAACTTTGAAAGTTGTAGCTAGTTGAAGGAAATACATTCCTTGGGTTTTCCTCCAAAAGAAGAATATACTTGTCTTTCGT